ATTGAATTCTTATTTTTAAGTATTAACGGGACGATTATATTCGTTAATTAAATATATAAATATATTATAAAAATCCTAGAAGTCCTAATTTATTTTATATTATAATTTATTAAATTCGAAAATAGTCTTCTCCTTATAATTATAATCGTAATACTTATTCTTAAGGTAATTTAATAATTATTGAGAGATCCTAAAATAATATAGGCTGTCTTTTAGGTAGGGTTCTAAATCTTAAGCCGCTTTACTAATTATATAATTCTCAATATATATCTTTTTTACTTTATTATTTATAAAATAATTAGTATTAAATTTCAATTTATTCTAAATATAGTAGTACTATATATTAAAGGAAATAGTATCCTTATCCTTCTTATTGTAAAAATATAGCGGGTTTTTCTCTTTTACTAATAACCGATTAGTATTTAAAATAGAGAAATTTAAAATTGGAGTACCTTTATATTTAATATTATTATCTAAATTATTATTATTTATATATTATTCAGAAATTTTCTAAGCGGTTAGGTCGATAGTAACCTTCTTCTTCTATTTCCGTAGGTCTATATTTTCTTTAGTAAGGCGGGTAATAATAGTATTTAAATTTGCAATTTCCCCCTCCTTTAAGGCTACTTCTATATTTAATTCCTTTATTTAAATTTTAATAGTAGCGAGTATATTCTTAGTAGTAGATAGTTTATAATAGGTTAAAGTGAGGTTATATTTGGCTTCGTTTAGTTCGGTTAGTAATTTAGGGTATTTGTAATACCCTTTAGGGTTTACCTAGTTATAATTATAATTATAAGGATTGTCCGGTAATGGGCTCTAATTATTATATGAATTTTAATAATTAAGATAGGAGTGGTCTCGGTCCTTAGAATCTTTACTACCGGGATTATTATTAGAATCTTAATTATTTATAATAATATTTAATTTAACGAATCCGAAGTAGAATTCTTCTATTAAATTGTTATTTTTTTTATAGAACAATATATTTTTATAATAGAACTTCTACAATTTATTAATTTAATTTATAGTAATTATTAAAATATTAGAGTTAGTTAAAGTATTTTTAAGGAGAGTTACTTTCTTTTTAAATTTAAAATTTTTATCCTCGGCCGATTTTTAATAATTAAGGAAATTTATAGTATATTCGTATATTTTATTTAGGTTGGTATTTAAATTAATAGTAATAACCTAGTATCCTTATTATTAAATAAACGCTGCTTCCGCGAGGATAGTATATAATTTAATTTCCTAAAAGATTACCTTTAAATTGGTAGGGTTCTAGTAAATATTTTAAAACGTTAGGAAATTTATTAATAATAATCTTACGTACGATTTATTATAATATAAATAATTTAATTAATATTCTTTACTAATAGCTATTAATAGGTAGAAGGTAAATGAAGGGCTATTGCCTTTTTTAAAATAGTACTTCGCAATCGCGCTAATCTTTATATATAGGAATGTATATAAATCTTCCTTTTTAAAAGTATAATATATATTAGCTATCTTATTGGTAATTTCCTAGTTAAAAAATACGATCGTTTTTTTTATATTATTAAGTACCTCTTTATTATCTAGATTAAATATATTAAAGGTCCTAAACTAGGTATTTTATTTATTCTTAATAGTAATAATATTTAATAAATGTTAGCGAAAAGCGTTATCCTATTTAATTATAGATTCGGGAATAATAGGAATATTGTTGATATTAAAAATAATTTGTTCTACAACAATCTTATCTTTTTAGGCCCTAATAGCTTATTTCTAAGCTTCGTTAATTTAAATACTTATTATAGCGGATATTTTTAACGTAATATTCTGCTTTTTTGGCGAGGCTTGAACTATCGCTTTTTCTTCGGGGGTATACGCTATTACAAAAATTAGCGATGCGATACAATTAGTTTTGCTTTTTAAAGTAATAGGATATTTAATTTCCTCTTTAGAAAATATAAGATTAATTTTATAATTATTACGAACGACGTGGTTACGAGAGACAAGCTGAACACGTTAATTCCTAAGTCTATTATAGAATTATAAGATGAAGAAGAAAAGAGGGAAACGTACAAAGGCGCGCCCCGCGTTTGGGGTTTTGACCTAGAGTTGTAGTGGCCGTGCACGCGGCCGATACCTGCCGCGCAGGCTATCGTACCGTACCACAGCTGGGACCGATCCGCCAGTGCCGTGACAAGTATTAATATATTGACGACGGTTCTAGATGTAGAAAGTATCGACCGTATCCTTCAATTTGAACGCCCTTTCAACTATAAAGAAGATAGAGTTCTAGTATATATTATTATCTCTAATAAGATTAATAGTATAAAGATTAGGATTAATGAAAATCTTACTATAATTTTCCCTCTCTTAGGTAATTAAATTCCCTTTTACGAACTTAGCAAATTTATCTCTACGCTAGGGAGAGCAACGTATATAGTTAATAATATTATACAATTTATTAATAGGACCCCGCTTTGGCTATTCGATTATAGACTTATTATTATTATTAATAATAGTATTAAGAATTCTAATAAGGCTATAAAAATCCCCCTCTAAGAAGGCTCTCGCTGTAAGGTTAATAATATAATTAAAGTAATATATATATAATCAATTTCAATACTCTTTAAATTAGTACTTAGAGATAGGGAAGTAATTGTTAGAATAGATTTTATTAACTATATAAATAATATAAATATTATTAGAATCTATATTATTATATTGAAAGTAGCTAAACTAATCCTCCCCCGTATCTAATAGACCCTACCTATTAAGAATCTTAATATTTACCGCACTAATATTAATACTGCCGTACCCCCCCTTTATACATTTAAAACCTATAGGAAGGTTATACAAAACTCTATTATTATTAATAAAATAAAAATAAAGTTCTATTAAAGAGTAGCCGTTACTAAAGGTCTAGAGATCGAAGGAAACGTACTTGTAAAATAGGTTCGCTAATATAAATTCTTTAATATAATAGGACTCTTTTATATAACTATAGTCAACCTATAATTTAATTATATTACTAGCTTCGGGTAATAAAGTAATTATTAACTCCGGGTTAAAGAGCGATAATAGTTAGTAGAACCTCGAATTAGTAACGCTATTAAAGAGTATATTATAATTAATAATTTAATTAAATAATAATTTTTTAAAAGTATTAGTAATAGGTTTTAATATAGAGACCCGCCCGGATTTATAGGCCTTAATAATTTGTTAAAGTATATTATAGGTAATTTTTTAGTATTTAACGGGCTACTTTATCTTATTAAGATTATTAATTTAATAGACCTATTTGAAGTAATTAATTATAAAATTCGTAGCGGCACTAACGTAGATTTAATTATATTTGCCGTAAAATTACATTTACTCAACAGTTTTAATAATAACCCTACTATCTTTTACTTCCTTTTTAATTTTAGCGAACTAAATATTATAGAATTTAATAAGCAAAGTACGGGGGCGTATACAATCTAATTAATCATTAAATATAAAATCCTTCCCCTTATATTTAATACGGGGGAATTTACTTATTTATAATAGTATTTATACTAACGGTTAATTTTAATTAAATTTCAATACTTCTAATTAGAATAAAGAGTTAGGGGAGTAACGTATTTAATCCCTCGGTTTAACAACTAACTCTTTAATACACTAAAAAACGCTAATTTAACTATTTTAGGCAATAGATCTCTATAGAGTAATAAAAGTATTAACTCCGCTAGCAGTAAAACTAATAGGGGAATTAGCGGCGGCAGCTAGAGAGGAATTAAGGTAAGAAGTATTATTAATTATATTAATAATAAAAAGTAATAAAAAAGGATAATAAGGGGGGTAACGAAAAATAAAGGAACCTAGTACGTATAGGTAGAGATGTGAATAGAAGTAGCTTAACCCCCCCTTAATACTATATCGATATTATTACTCTTAAGTAAATTCGAGCGAATTAGGGCGGTTAGTACGCGCCCCCTAGCGCCTTCAAACGAATAACCGACGGGAATAGACTTTTTACGGGAGGAAGAGTGGATACGGTACTAGGTACCAGATATAGTAAAGAGCTGGATTCCCAACTAAAATCTACCCCTTTAAATATTACGAGCTATAGTATAATCGAAATGAGGCAATTAAGTAAAGCGACTTCAATTCGATTATTTCCGTTACAACTCGATTTACCTTATTTACTTACCTCAGATTATTACTTGTTATTTGTTATTTACCTCATTGCGAGCACTGCTCTTCAATAATTGTCTGCCTCGAACAGGTATCGTCGCCCCCACGCCCCCACCCCCATTGCCTTCCCCAGGATATCTCGATATCCGTGAAATGCCTAACGTAGTAAAGTGGTCAGGTACAGCCGAGTCCCGTACCCGACGCATGGAGCCCAGCCCGCCGCGTAGTCTCAGCTGCTACCTACACAGGCACTGCCCGGAGCCTGGAATTTGAAATACACAAGCACACTTCGATGAACTGGCAGTCAGCCACTGACAATAGCGTGGCCCTGTACGTGATACAAGGGCGCATTTGAAGGTCCTAATTTTCTCATTTCAAAGTCAGGTTTTCGACCATGTTACGGATATTTCAGCAATGATTTAGGTACCCTACCTAGGTAGGAATATGTACCTTCTAGGTAGAATGCAGAGGGATACCTGTTGTTTCAATTTTCCCAAAAAGAGATAGAAACAAACATTAAAGGTGCAATCCAAAGAACGGCTCAACAGGCATACAGGTAGCCTCTTATCAGGTTGTCGAATCATCAGCCAAGAATGTGCCTGGCTGGCCGGATCCAGAGGCCTCCAGCTCAAGCTCCTGGGAAACCGCGGCCTAGACCTATGTGGCGTTCCTGCTTGTTCATACGCAGTACTTCAAACATCAACCTCCAACCTGCCAGCCTGGTGCTCGCAATCAATGTGTACAACCTTTCTTCCACCAGCAAAACCAAGTAAACCTTTCTTCTTATTGCCTCTTGCTTCCATCCTTGTTCCAACCCATCCCTATTGACCTCCAGTCCTTTTCAGGCCTTGGTCATCCCGGGACTAAAGCCGCCTGATGGGAGTATTCCTCCTTCTAGGAATAGCGGGGACCACGCCTAGTGGTTTGGAGTAGAGGGGCACGGTCGCTAGGTGTCGGGGGAGAGGAGAGGGAAGAGTCCGAATCCGCCTCGTAATCGTCGTCGTAGAGGTCGGACATGTAGGAATCCGAATCGGATGAACGGTCGCTGGTCTGGGTTGCCCTATCAAGGCCCCAATACCTGTATGAGACAGGACCGTCGGAGTTCGATGAGTGGTCGTCACGGGAGGTGCTGTGCATGGATGAATGGGCTTCGTGGAGTGGGTATTGTTGGTAGGGACCGGAGGAGTGGGATTCCGGATCGTAAATGAAGAACTCGGAGGAGTCGTAACTGTGGTAAGGGTGCACGTGGACACGGGAGGGGGTGCTGGAGGAGCCGCGGTTGGCCTCCAAGTCTTCGTGGTCTTCAGGGGTCTTGCCAAATCTTTTGTGGCACTTGAGGAAACGGCCGCACCCATCGTAGCCTGCTTGTCGCCGCCAGATAATGACGCCCGCGATCACGGTCCCAATGATGGCGCCAAGGACAATGGTCGACAATAGGGTTTTGGTCATGGTAACAGCCATCGGGGACAATGTGTCCATGTCTCCAGGCAAATTCGGCGGGACGGTTGAGATCAAGATGGCACCGATGATGCAAACGAGAAATACCAACAAGATCAATATACAATTTTCATTCCAAGGCGTCATGGTTCCAGTCAAAGGCCGCATGGCGATAGGTATGTCTGATGGGTATGGGTATGGATCCATGTTTGGTGTGATTCGGTTGTTGACGAGACAGGTGATATGGATATGAATCTCGAGATATCTGGGATTTTTCTCTGGAAGAGATTCCTCAACATTGAAGGCACCAGTCGAAGAAAACTTTGTTGCTGATTTCTCGTGCCCTTTTTATTCCTCTTCCACTTCTTTTACTTCCGGTTTTTTTTTTTTTTTTTTTTTTTTTTTTTTTTTTTTTTTTTTTTTTTTTTTTTTTTTTTTTCGAAACTCGCGGATGCCCGGCAACTGCACCTCTTCTCCGGTATTTTCATACTTTGCCATGAAGGCCATACATGTACCTACCTGTACCATTATGCATTCAGCACCGGACATGAGAGTGCCCGCTGGACTGTTCAAGTCCGCTTCTTTCGTCGGTCGCAACTTGAATAATTCGGACTTCCGCAGGCCGCTGCAGGAAACTCAATTCCTGGACCATCACCCACGAGCAACAATCTCCCATTATCTCCGGAATCAAACGGGCGGACCCCGATACCCCCTATCCTCCCCCTCCCACCCTAGCCTCGGCCACCCGCTCGGAAGCGTCGCGACCCTCGGCAGCGTATATCTCCCATCGCACCCATCCTTTTTGCACCCCTCGAGCCCACACAGCCCAAACACCTTGCAATAACACTCGCCCGCATCCGGACAGTGAACGGCTGCCTTCCCAAAGATGATATGCCACGTGTACTCAAACACCCTGCCAGACAGACTGTCGTCCAGCTCCGTGTTCAGCAGCCACTCACGAAGCCGGACGTAGTCCTCGCGCGTTCGGTTGTGAACTGTTTCACGGGAAACGGCGAACTGGGAGCAGCAAGATACGCCAACGACTTCGGGGACAGGAATCCCCGGGAGGATCTGCTGGAAGGCGGGTTTGAAAATGTCCTTGAGCGCCACATCTCCGGAGGCGGAAAGGTCCTTGAGATCCTGGACGTTTAGATTGGGGCGGACCTCTGCGGGACAGCCGAGGACCCAGACACAGCGAAGATTGACGTAGCCAGAGGTTTGTACGTAGGGGGTTTGCAGGTGCCGGAGAGTTACGAGGGCGTCATAGTCGGGGTCGTCGTTGTGCCAGGCAAAACGTTGCGCATGGACAAAGACGGTGGTGGAGGCAAGAGTGTCGTAGCGATCGATGAGGTGTCTGGAAGCTCGTTAATAGGTACCTAACTTTTCCCGGCAAGTTTGTCAAGAGCACACGCACGTGAGATAGACCATGACCTCATGCCCTTTATTCTTGGGGACCGTGAGGGGAGCATCAGGGTCGTCGACCACGTAGATGCTCGCGGGCCAGTCCGGTAGGTATTCGTGAAACCAGGTGGTGTTTTCATACTTCATACTGGCCACCACTAGCTCGAGCGGAAGCTCTGGAGCTTTTTCGGGCGGGCTCGCCGGGACACCGGCATAGCGTTGAGGCGGCGATGCCACATCCAAGATGCCAGCTCCGAGTTGGCCGTAGATGTAGAAAAGAACAAGAATACACGCGCAAATTGAGATAATTCGCAGCGGAGAGACGTGAAGTTTTGCTGGAAGCATAGCTGCCCCTGCCCAAAACCGGGCCAGACAGTGAACGGCGACAGGAGCTATAATAGGTAAGCTAAAAGAGAGGCTAGAAGGCGGGATAGGAACCCACAACCAAAGACAGAGAAGGAAGATTACCAGATCGCTTTACCCATAAAAAAAGATGCAAGGAGAGCTCCAACCACTCTATGTCGACTAGGTACCTCGATGTTTGCGAGACCAAATGCTTGAGGAACTTTTCTAAGGGGAGTCGACCGACGTCAAGATAGAGGTAAGCTTCCTGTTGGTTCCAAGTCCACGGGTCCCGTCACTTCCAAGATGTGTCAAAAGCACCACACCCACCCACCGCTCTTGACTGAATGCATGTTAGGTGCCGGGCACTCTTTATCCGCCTACCCGGGACGCCATCAGTGTTGACATCCCCTGTCCATCAATTCTAGCAGCTTATTAGCGTCTGGCGATTGTGGACTGTCACCGAGTGGTAAAGGCCCAATCACATGGGAATCCCGCGTTTCAGAACCTGGGCTCTCAGGGCATCGAACTTGAGTCGATAGACAGGTAGAGGTACCTAGAACAGGGAAACTGAGCACTCCAATGCAGGCCAGGCCTGGATGGAAGGCCTGAACGTTGGAGTGCATTTCCGGTGCATGCTCGAGGTCGCAACGCAGAATTTCTTGCGAAGGCCCACGCTTGGGTCTCTAGAATGGAGGTAGGCTTCGGGGGCCAAATCTCAACCGCCCCCAAGAGTACTTAGTTCCGAGACGGCCCCAATTGTGAACTGGCCACCCCAGAAAATCTCAACCCGCGCTTATGAGACCCGTGCCTTCGAACTGGCAGATCCCAGATACGCTTGACCCCTGGAATCACTTTGGAATTCTGCCTGCGGGCGCACTGGTTTGCTACGTGGTCCGCCTTCCGCCATTGTGTTGTCCGCTCGGTTTAAGAAGCCTGGAAAGGCAGATACTCCGTGTGAAGAGGTCTCTGTACAGTGAAGATCGTTAGCTAGGAACTTTGTAGGATATAGAAACAGGGAAATTGATTGGCCTTGGAGTTTATTTTGCTGTGAAGGTGGAGAAGGACCCTTCACACCCTCGCATAACGACCACCTCTCCGCCCCACTTCTACCGTCTGAAGCACCACTGATGGTCTTGACCTGCCGTGAGAATCCTACCTGACTCGGGTTTACCAACTGGAAGTAGTAAAGTGGCTGTCCAAAGGATCGCGCCAATAACCCTTCCAGGGCTGAACGAGAGCGTACAAAATAAAGTGTTTGGCTGCAAATGAACACTTCTAGGAAAAGGAAGAATTGGGTTTGTTCGTGGCTCTTAGTGCTTACCACCAAAGAGGTGATTGCTTTCGCATGGAATGTCGCCTAGTACGCCGAATCGGCCAGAGATAGGCGCGTAATATATGACTTGCTGAGAACCCGCTCCCATTGCCAAACTGAGTTCTTGTTCCATTTTGTTGTTTTTTCCTTCTCCAGTGACCTAACTTGCTGGGTAGGTACCGGCTAGTCCTGATCACCGACGAGACAAGGTTGTCTCGGTCGTTCCCGTTTCCTTCGCTTCACTTTCTTTGTTCCCACACTTGACACAATGCGATTTCCTTCAAGCTCTTACGGGCAGACAAGCCTCAACGTTCTCTTCGGGAGAGCTGATGTCTGTGATGAGGCTTTCCCGGGTGAGGGTGCAAGCACCGATTTCTGTTCTCCAAGTAATACGTTGTGCTGTAAGTTTCAACCCCAGCCTCATGTTGTGATTCCTGTCACCTGCGCCTATCTGGGTCTCACAGTCGGTTCTTATTGACCATACGATCGTAAAGGTGTGCGAAAAGGTCAACAATATCCGGCATGTGAAAGCGGCATTGGTAAAGGATGGTGTTGTACCGGGTATGTGCCCTTACTTACCTATCTTACCTCATTCCCTCACCTGCCCTACATACTATACCTTATTCGAGCACCCAAGCGCGGAGCAAAGACAGCCCATCGTACCTCAACCGCTAACCTCCATCACCAGAACCGGCTCGAGCAATTGCTACGTCGACCAAGCCTCCGCCTGCGACGAACCCAACGCCGTGCCCTGTACCAACCTCAAAAAGGGCGTCTCCAAAGCCTGCTGTCCGCGCCTGACCAGCTGTTCCGACGGCTATGAAGCCAGCGAGGAATTCGTCCGGTGTATGGTAACATCCAGTACGACGACTTGTTCCATCCCACCGTCGTTGTGACAGCTACACTCTCAGAGAGCGGGAAGGTATCAACAGTAACGCTGAGTCCTTCATCGTCATCATCGAGCACGTCGACGACGATATCATCCTCTAGCAGTCGCGCCGCCGGGACAGTTAGCACGCAGTCGTCGGAATCAACTCCCCTCCCCGGCATCCCCGTGCCATCGAGCACAACACCAGCACAGCAAGGCCCCTCCCCCACTCCAGAATCATCGCCAGCAATCTCCACCGGCGCCATAGCAGGCATCTGCGTCTCCGTCACTCTCGCATGCGCCCTCGTCGCCGTTCTGATCTGGATCGTCCTCCGCCTTCGTAGGAAAGCTGCAGCCGAAAAGTCCCCGGCTCCATCAGATAGCAACCAAAGTGGAAGCGACCAAGACACACGCAGAGATGTGGGCAGTCCGCTCGTCGAACTACCGCATACCCACACCTACTCCGAAGCACCAGGTGATAGTCGTCCGTATTCGTACGTTGTTAGGCAGAATGTGGTCGAGTATTATAAGCCAATGGAGTTAATGACACAGAGGGTGATGCCGGTTGAGTTGCAGGGAGATGCACAGATGGGGGCGCCAGGGCAATGGCAGGAGCAGCAGCAGTATGGACCGCTTGAGATTATGGCAAATCCGAGAGGATCGGGGGAAATAAGGACGCCGAGGGCTGAACTGGCGGCTCCGACGCCTAGGGCAGAGTTGGGGACGTCTACATGAAGCTGTGGTAAACTCTGGAGGACATGGACGAGGAAAGTTAATGCGGAAATAATGTGTATACGCTAGCAGTAGAGGTGAGGGGGGACACCGGGGCGGAAAACACAGGCGCACCGCGTAAAAGAATACCCAAGCGTCTTGCCATTTCCATCATTTTGCATGTTCAACATCCAGAGCGGCCGTGCGGTGTAAATGGCATCCAGGGCGGTAGTCAAGTTGGCGGCTGGGGAAAAGATGGGGCTAGACCTGCTGGCAACAGAGAGCGTTTCGGCGCTCGCGATGGACGGTTCAATGGTGGTGAATGACCAGATGTCCCAAAGGGAGGAGCCGTAAGCAGGCATCGAGGCGAGGGAGAGACGTCGGCGACGAGACACTGTGGTGCGGTTATTTTGCGCTCGAATGAAGGATGCGATCGAGGACGGAGACAAGTGCAGGCGGTACGACTGGGAGGATACTGTAGATGACCAAGAGCCCTGCAGGCTCAAGGCACGGATTGGCAACAGGAATGGGTGGACGTTGCAGTGTGCGCGGATGGGATCGCGGGTTCGTCGTTTGGCTGCCTAGGTGGTTTTTGGATCACGCGTTGAAAGAGAACTGAAGTCGGGTGGCTCCCGTCCTTGTTGCCTTGTTGCCGATGCGATTGGTGCGGGGTAGCTGCTCGCTTTGGTGTTAAAGGTCAACATTGCTCTTAGCTACTTTCACGGCATTTGCTCGAAGGGGACGTTAAGATCCCCCACTCGCTCTAACACTTACATCCTTCAACACTGCAGTGGTACTCATCCCACGGTTCCACCATTTTCCACCCGACATCGGACTTTCCCTTACTGACTTACTCCAGCGGTTGGTAGATTGAACCTGCCTCTATTCACGAAACAGTGATCACGACATCAATCACGGCGGCCATTATGCCTGGACAAAGACACAATGTAGACCACGGACTTCCCCACACCCAGACACCCTTGAAAGATGATGCATTTATCGCAAGCTGCAGTTCCTCCGTACAATGTCGGCCGAACAGATAGATCCCTTTTTCCGTCAGATTTCAACTTGATCCAGTCCGCCATCCGTATTCCCAGTACATGTACACTATCTCGACAATCGCCATTCGTTCTTTTTTCCTTTTTTTCTTTTTTTTCCCGTCGATCAACAGTTCCCGGTCAATCTCTTCTCAACTCCTTCCATAGTTTAATAATTCTTCTCCTTCCATCTCTCTCCCAGTCGCCATTTTCTCCAGTCTCACCCACCCTTACACAACCTGGCCATTTCTGACCCTCAACATCATCACGTCCCCCAACTCTCCCTTGGTATTATCATGCGTCAGCACGTACCGATCGCCAGGCTGGTTGAAGAATCCCTTGCGCTCCAGCATCTTGGAGGTGTAAAGTACGGCGCAGGTGGCGGCCACGCCGACGGCAGTGCGGGTTGCATACTTCCTATTTCATTTTCAGGCTTGAGTCAACATTTGTTACCATATGGGCCATTGCCAATGGTCGGCGATACAGGACGGCTGGACGGGAAGGTCAAGTAATCGAGTAAGGTGAGAAACGAAAGGGAGACGGAAGTGTGTAGCGGTATTGTATGGTAGGCCAGGTTGAACATGAAAATAACAAAAAAAAAACAAAAACATCAGAAACCGAACTTGAAATGGAAACGACATAAAAGGGGAATATTACACTCTACAGCTCTTTCAGATCTGATCTACACAACAGCACCAACGTCTCGTCCCTGGACGGGTACAGAAAGACTCACCGGTGAACAGCACTAGCCCAAGGATACAACTCCTGCCCACCCGGTCCACCAAAATCATCTTCCGCCTCCCTCTTTTTATGAATATTCTTCTTTTGTCCCTTTGTCACCACCGGCTGGCGAGGGCTGCCGCGGGCTTGGAGAAAAGTCAGGCGGGGCCGGAGCAGAGTCCGGGAGAAGAAGCGGAGTGATAACATGGTTGACAATTCTGGTCAAGTTCGATTGTAAGCTGAAGTGTTGGAGTTCAGTATGAGTCTTGAAGTAGATCTTGTCGAAAATATCCCAGTTCACTATAGTATTATGATGATGAGGGAGCATAAAGTCAAAAACCGACTTGCTAGTATTCGGGCTACTGTTATTTTGGTGGTGACCGTGTTATGGCCAGGTAGATGTTGTCGCCCCTTGACACTCGGGACTCAGTTGTAATGGTGACGTGGACTCTGTGGGACGAAGACGGGATGGAGGAGTTGGAGAGGACCGTGGGCGTTAAAGGTATGCTGGGTTGGGCTGAGTTTGACAAAACGCCAAATTTCATATCAAGGACATATCAAAGTGACAACCTGGAAAGTACACATATCCACGACAACAGAATCGACAACATCCGCTCCCCAAATAATTGTACAGAATCGAAACAAAGTGAACATGAAAGAGTCAGATTAATCGACCATGTCGGTATCACTAAGTGCGAGTGACATAGTCATATCGAAAAAAAGTTGAAAAAAAGACATGCCCCCACGCGGGATTGAACCGCGGACCTCATCATATCGTAGTTGCACTTTCCAAAGGAAGCTTACGAGTGATGCGCTCTACCACTGAGCTATACGGGCTAACCCTGTATTAATGGTTGAATCATAGTGCTGGGATAATCCCTTATCAAGGTCAAGCTTCGGACCAGACCGTGAAACAGAAGGATCTCCCGCCAAACTCTCCTGTAAAACCAACGTCGCACAGCATGAAGTACAGCAGTGAAGCGAACTTTGGTATATATCAGACTGCTCCTATGACAAAGCATAGACTCTACAGCGGAAATACTATACCACATCAATATACCACAATCTGAATAAAGACAAATACAAGGAACATCCAAAACTGCTGTAAGAATGCGGTGCACCCGCCTTACCTACTTTACCGGAACCTTCCTCCTCTTCTTCTTCCATGTGCTTCTGCATCTCTTTGTGTCTTGTTCCTTCCTGCGCGAGTCACTGGCCGATCGTCTTACTAGCCTGTAGCCTCAACGAAACATGACATGCCCGACCCGGTCGGTGGTGCAGCTCAGCTCTCGAAATCACCCATCCATCATGTCCACGTCCATGTCCACATCCACATAAGGGTGAACAGGCCACCAACGCTGCCAAACCTCGGGCGCATCCCCATCCCCCTCATCCTCACTGGGCAAGTACACCTCGGGGGCGTCCGCCGGTGCAGGCGCTGGCTTGGACATGACTGTCAGCTTGTCAGGATCCGCATGGCCTTGCAGAAACCAGTCCGGGGCGCTAAACCCCGTCATTATCCACCGCGTGAATGACATGGGCCTGCTGAACTTCTCCAAAACCACAAACTCATCGTTCTCATCGTAAGGGGGGAATACAAAGTCAAAGTCTAACCACTGCCCGTTGCTGTTATTTTCACCGAGGCGTTGGTTCTGCCTAAGAAGCTGCTTGTACTGGTCCATGAGAGCCTGCCACAACCTCTTGGAGATGGGGTACTTCTTCATGGGTTGTTTGATTCTCTCATTCTCCGTGGCAAAGAGCATGTCCCAGCGAGCTTTGTAAAGGGATGTCAGGCTCTTGGGTGAAGGCCATGTTAATGTCCCGTGGGGCCTGGCGAACACTCTGCAGACCATAGGCGGGTAGATTTCGCTGGGGTCAGTGACATCAGGCCTGGCCAAACTGGCGTTGGGAGGCTCGTCCACGGAAGTCCAGAACAATGGATACTTGAAAAAGGCACCGGCAGCCCGGGCGTGCTGGCTCGGAAACCAGCGGTTGGGCAAGGATACTTTGCTGGTGGTAGCTGTCGGCGCGGATGGAGGTGCTGCATTCTTCCCCACTGAGATTGACCAGTCATACGGAAGAGACGCATGCATCATAACTTCGAGCATGCAAAAGGGCCACAGGGCCGGATGATGGTGAAATTCGAAGAACCAGAAGGGTGCGGTCCCGGGAGGGGCAGGGGTCAAATTGTAGGGTGTACTCAGATCGAAGGCGAGTTCATTGAGGTAGCTGCTGTATTCCTTGACTGCGGCTTCCGCATCGGCACGGTTTCGTTGAAGGACCGCCTGTCGGAACTGGTCAATCAGTCGGCGTAGGCGCAGAAACGAGTACGGGGTTTTCTGCCAGATCCGGTAAGACTGCTTGTACCAAGGCCGTAGGCTTTTCCACAGTTTTTTGCGGAACTCCATGTATTGGAACGTCTGCTCTTCCTCTAGCCGGAACCTCTGCATCTGGTTCGGTACTATCGGTTGGTGACGCAACAGCGACGGTTGCACGTGTCCCCTGGCGTGGTACATCCGCACATGGTTCCCCCTGCTGATCCTTTGCTTAGTGCGCACCACTGGTTCAGCTTTGAGCGCGCTTTTCCCGTATACAGCAACATGAGAATCCCAAAAGCTCTGGGACTGGAACCGGGAACACCAGTATGTAGGTAGGGGGCTCATCTGGGAGGTAACTCTATCCAGCGCACCACGCAAAGAACCATCTAGTTCCTGTAGTTCTTTACCTTTTACACGTACTGTCGGGTCATCAAGCCATGATTGTGCAATAGTAAACGCAGGGCCAGCCCGGGAGAGGAAGTCGCTGTCAGGCACAAAGACGTTCACAGGTCCAATTATTGTGACAGCGTCAAGAAGAGATTGTTCCTGTGACCAACCCAGTTCTGCAGAAACTTCATTTTTATAATACTGTATGACATCGAACTCTCCTGGATTAGCAAAATAAATAGGTACGTTTGGATGGTAACGTTCAATGAGTCGACTTACCGGTTCATATTGCCACCCGCCTGAGCAAGTACTGACATAGACTCTTGCCTGCTGAAGTGCATGCTACGCAACACGGGTTAGTCTACGACTGGAGTAGATTAATCAGGAAGACGAGCGATGCTACTTGCCATGAACTCGTGTACTATCTAGCAAGCTCGTGTCAGCTTTGGTTGATTTATATGCCCCAGGGGCTTTAGGGACGCTCAGGATCATACTTACTACGAGCGCTAACTGGAGCCGCGTGGTGTGTTTGGAAGCAACTTCCTCTGGAGTATTTGAGATGGAAAGCAACGCTTCGAGAAGCATAGTATTGATTTTGATATCGGTGAACACCTCGGGGTCATGCGGGTGTGGAAGGGCGCTGGGATTAAGAGGTTTCTCCATCACCGTTCGCAGTTGTGCTGAGCTGCAGTAACCGGCTGTGACACCGCCCGGCTGGCCCGATGACCCATACTTGTCCAAATCCCGCGGATCAAAAAACGACCAGATTATCCACTGTGATAGAAGCTCAATTTGGTGCCATATTCGGTTGGCGATCCGCTGGTCGGGTTGCTTGAGCCCTATTCCAGCCTCACCGGGCGAAACCATCCGCTGGGGCATACGATTTCCTGAGAGTGGTAAGACATTCGGAATCGGATCCGTGGATCCCTCCAGCAGTGCAGAAATCCAGTCGCCGTAAAGGACGTGGTGCAGCATCCTGTTGGCCATCTCAATAGCGACTCGCAGTTCACCCCAGAGGCCGTTGTCGTCTACACTCCAATTTCGAGTGTTTGTAGGGCGCCCGTTGACGTCCTTTTCCAACACAACACCCCGCAAATCATACCACCGGCTGCGGCGGAAGGCTATGTGCCACTTGCTCTCGTCAACGTGGATAAGATCAATGTCCGGGAATTGCTCAACTGTGACGCTGATATTGGAAAGTTGCATGATTGAGAGGTCCGTCATAAAGACCTCTTGCCAGTAACTTGTCCCTATGATACCTTGGTTGAGGGAAGGAAGCTCCCAAGTTCTGAGGCCGTGGAGAGCGACCTGCTGCCACCGTTCGGTACAGAACAATTCGTCCAGCTGTACGCCCGAGGGCTTCGGTATGGACTTTGGCATCGGATGCGCGTGTGTAGCCGCCTCCTGCAGCGCTCGCTTATGCGTCCACCAAAGGTCTTCAGCGAGACCGTACGGTCCGTCAACAGTCGGGAACATGGGAAGTAATCCAGAGGAGATAATGCCGTTGCTGTCCTCATGTAGCTTAACCCCCCATCGCTCGAACAAATGATCCCCACGACGGCGTGGAGGAGGTAATTGTTGGTTTGCCATGATGGGTATGCGACGAAAGGAAGGAAGTCGATGTAGACAAGTGCGCGGAAGAAGCTGAAAAAAAAAATCAAAGTGACTTCCACACCGTATGCGTCGACCAAGTCGCTGGGAAACTGCGTACTTATGCCTGAGGGGCTTCTGGTTCGTCGCGAGATCTCTGGGTAAACAAAGCATGCCCGGATCCAGTAACTCTGTGCTAGGTACCTAAGGCGGCATGGACAAAGGCACTCCGGACGCGGATGCGGGTAGTCATTTGTTGTGTCCAAGCATGGCATCATTCGGGGGAGGACCTACGGTAAGAATCCTTTGTCTTGAACCTAAGCTCCAACGCATCCCTGGCAAGCTGGCCGTGTCAAAGCTTTATCCTCGACACCACGAGCATGGCAAGCGCATAATAAGCAGCGCTCAGAAAGTACGGTAAACCCAGCGCCCACCCGCCGACCTTGACGCCTTGCACCCATAAAGCAGCCATGGTCGGTGCTCCGACCAGCAAGCCTACCGTTTTGACCAGCATAACGATTGAGAAAATCTGAGCTTCCGAAACCACAACAGTGGCATCACCAGCCGCGCTCATCCCCGGCCCACTGGGGTCTGGTAATAACGACGGTGATTTGAGTAGCGAGTACGTAAACATGGGGAGTGCGATGCCCATGGCGTAAAGCAGCAGTGACGGTACCAGGGTCCAAATCGTCGAAGCCATGGCTATAGCGACGACCCCCAGAACAGAAAAGATAAGGCATGTTTGAGCATAGCTGATGTTGTATCCATCGGCCACCTTGTGGTCCTGAATCGTGAAGACGTCCGGGTCCGAGAGGCGTCGGGACTGAAAGGAAGACAATGGAGAAGATTGGGATCGGCGCCGGCGCAAGATAGTAGGGATAATAAGGTAGAGAAGGAAAAAGTTGAAGACTGCCTTTCCCGATAGCAAGTAGCCGACCGAGGTAAATTTCCACCCATATCGCTTAGAGATGTACTGGGCCATGAGCTTGGTGTCGGAGCTGGCCAGAGAGGTAAAGAAGAAGCTAGCGAGCAGGAGTGTAAAGTTGGGCGGGTAGCTGGTTATGACCTTGAAGACGGACGAAATGCGACCAGAGACGGACTCTTTGAAGCTTGTGATGCTGAGCGTGGGATCCGGACGATAAGGGAGGTCTTGCGGTAGCAGGGGCGCTATCGACTCTTGGTCGTGCTGGCGTCTATGACTGCCGGTGTTTGATGCGGGAAGACCGGAGATGACGGGCACAGCGGCGAGAAGAAGGACGACGCCGGCACACAAAGGAAGCCACAGCAGTATGCTCATGGTGCCAGAGGCCAGAGCAGGACCAAGCTGGGCGGCGAATATGGCCGAGACAGCATTCACCTGGCCGAAGAAGGTAGCTCTTTGCACATCGTCATGGGTAGCCGACGAGACCAGCGAGTACACAATCGAGTTGAAGACACAGTCTCCGCCGAGGACTGACGAGAGCGGGCCAAGGGCAAGGGCGGGCAGGGGAAGGGCGTGGTCGAAGTAGCCGACGGCAAGCGTCCAGCAGAGCACAAGGACGCGAGGCACGAGGTTGAGCCGCAGGACTTGGGCGTGGCCGTAGCGGTCAGCAAGCAACACGAGGGGGATGGTCATGACAAAGTCGCCAGCAACCCAGCCCGTCTCCATGAGGCCCATCATGCTACCCAGATCCTGCTGGATGCTGTCCAGCTTGCACAGCTCCTCGGGCACGCTTCCATCATGGCCAATTGCCGAAGGGTCGGCGCCAAGATAGAAGTCGCGACAGAGTCTGCGTTCAATAACACGGTTGAGCGGGAGCTGGTAGAGACTCCAGGCGAGATTGACAAGGGCGACTAGTACCAGCAGAGAGCGAATCGAGGGGGAGGATCTGGTCGTGATGGCGGAGGAGGAGGAAGGGGAAGAGAACGGCGTGCGGGGCATCGTATTGCCGCCTTGGATCGTATTGTATTGTCACTTCGATTGTGATGATGGGTAAAGAGGACTCAAGCATGTGGCCTTTCTAAGGTGGAACGACGAAAGGGAAAAAGCATATCATGTTTCGGTGTCGCGGTGGTGGTGGTTGATGTTGTCCTCGAGACCGAGTCCATGAGAGCAAAACAGGAGCATATGTCCAAGTGTGCAGTAGTAGCAAGAGAAGATGGAAAGATGGAGTCTTGAAGAGCAGATCAAATGTCCAGAAGTAGTGATTGGGCCAAGGTTGGCATTCCCGACGAGGGAAACATCTGATGGAAGGTGATGTTGACTGCAGTCGGTGGTCAACTGCGGGGATGTTTCAACGGATGGAAGTTCAATGTCTAGGTCTCCACCGCGTTCAGGTCGCAGAAGGGCCGCCCCACTTGATACCCCCGGGCCCCGCCGGCTAGAGCGCCCGGGCGTGCCCACTCCCCTCGTGTAGGTCGGGTCCGGGTCCCGTTACAGTCAACCCCCCTGTTTCTGCAAGTAATCCGGGCAGCCATTTTGGCTTGCACTACATAGCGGTTTTGCATATGGAGGGGCAGACTCCACCGTAACTATTGTATAGTATGTAGTTGATACGGGGCTCTAATAACTAATAAAGGACTCTAATAACCGATAAAAACTCTGATAAGCAGTAATAGGGGTACTAGAACCCCCTGTTAGAGCCCCTATTAGTTGCAAGTTTGTATAGCTAAGGGTGGCCAGGCGGCTTGCAATTAGCAGTTAGCAAGTATTCATATAGTAAAATAATTCGGGCACGAAAATCCCTTGTATCACATAGTGATTTTGTATAATGGGGAGGTTGCAGGAACAGGGGGGTCGACTGTAGGTTGTCCGGCCAGTGGGTCAGCAGGCTCAACTTCCCCTGAAACAATCCAAGACACAGCCTCGGCTGGGCCCGACCCTCCGCTGATGACGGGAGATTGCCAGGGGCATGCCACCTAACCAAACCGGACGTGGGGTCTCTCGCTTCAAGTCCAATCGGCGCATCCAATTCCGCCAACTCAAAGGGTTCGTTCATCGAACCACAATTCAGGGGATCATCATCAGCGAGTCCATTCATCCTCTTGATGCGAAGTCTCCTTTGCCCTACTCTTTTCTACTTCACAACGATATTTACTACCCGCTTGCCACAAATATGACCTCGAGGTAGTTGCGCGCGCAGTCTCATTGAACGCCCACGATACCATCACCTAATCTCTACAACAAGGTGCGCTCGGATCCTCACAACCACACGCGAAACAGGCAGGATCCTGAAATCACCGGCGACAAGAACCAAATACGTTCGGACAAAAAAACAAAGTCGACCCAAGTCAGCCGGGCGCGAAAAAGACCTCCACAGGGACTACCCTGATCGATTCGATCTACCATCATCATGGCGCGACGGCCGCACATTACGCTGATGCTCGTCGTCGGCGTCATTCTCTTTGTGTTTACGACCTACATGCTCTCCTCGAGTGGCTCCTCGGGGGTGGTACAGCATTCAGAGACTCTCGATTTAGGCGGAAGTAGCGGCAGCGGAGATCACAAGAGTGCCAGTGGCGATGGCGGCAGCAAGTCCGCGTTTGGCATATCGGATAACATCCTCAAGGGCGGCTCTATCGCGCCCAAGCTGGAGAATGCGACGGCCAAGTATGTCTATCATGCCCATCACATCGCACCATACATCACGCTATACCCCTCTGGCCAGGCATCATTTCGCTAACCACAATAACCACTACAGAGCAGAACTAGGCCGCGCTTCCTGGCGTCTCTTCCACACCATGATGGCGCGCTTCCCCGAGACCCCGACCGCCGAAGAATCGTTGGCTTTGAAAACCTACATCCAGCTGTTCGCGCGCCTCTACCCCTGTGGCGACTGCGCATCGCACTTCCAGAAGCTGCTAAAGAAGTATCCACCGCAAACGAGCGGGCGCAACGCGGCGGCCGGATGGGCCTGCTTTGTCCATAATGAGGTCAACAAGCGCCTCAAGAAAGAGCAATTTGACTGTAACAAGATTGGGGATTTCTATGATTGTGGCTGTGGAGATGAGGGTGCCAAAAAGGCGGGGGAAGCTGGCGCTGGGGCAGAGGTCAAAACAGAGACAAAGAAGGGAGGAGATCTCAAGATGGATTGAGGGTTGAATAGGAGGAAAAGTTAATTCTGCACTTGTAGGGAGGTGAGAACCACGCATGGACATCAAGTGACCTTGAGCGGCGTATGCCGGTATGCCCATTGAGTAGAGACGGAAATGTCTTGGATATTGCAGTCGTAATACCGATATCGACTGGTGTCCTGTCGCAATCCGGACGAACTCGACCCGAGGGGGGTTCAGATTCCAAGGCGCTGTCGAAATGAAGTTGTCAAAGACATGGATTTGCCTGCTTCTATACCGCCGCCAGCTCCAGGGCCCTTTGCGAACAAAGCCGTTAAGATATTGAGCATTGGTCTTTTGTATTGATAATTACCTCTGTGCCGTGGTTGCAAAAGGTCAACGAAAGACAATGGCAAGGCAATTCCCTTCCTTTGTTGTCTCATTGGTTACGCTGCCGTGTATACATAAACCCCGGTTAGAGAATATCGCTCCATTGCAGAGAGCCCGACGATGACGTTATCAGATGGAGTCGAATCGCGTGAAAGAGACTGATAAGATAAGAGCAATCGATACGACCCACCTCGAGGGAACCTAGTACATAGCTCATGGCGGCTATCGCACGTGATCCCTTTGAGTGAAAGCCAAGCCAAGCCCGCCGTCTGCAACACGCGTGTTTGGAGCTGCCTTGAGCTGAGGGGGCCTGAGCTTCCCGTCCACTCAACTGGCCTTCCCGCCTTCTGATGGGCCCGCCTTCGCCGCCTTCGAGGTTCACCCAGCGTTCGTTGGAGCTTCCTTTCAGTAGTACAACGAACAACACAACTTGAAGGGAACTGACAAACCATAACGATTCCACAACTCCACGCCTTTGTCCTCTCGATTTACACTACGACGAGCGTCCGACCGACTGTTCACGAGACTGTCCAACAACTTGATTGCGCATTACGTTAGAACGACAACCACTCGATAGCCCCGTCATCATGGAATTTGGAACTTCGGGCGTGCTCAGCGAAGGTGAGCTCCAACTTCCATTCGGCGTCGCATTCCATGTCAAGTCATCACCATCACGGCGTCACCACTGCCTACAAGTCAACAACCTACCAACTCTCTCCGAGTCTCGCAACTCCCTGCCGTCAACACCATACCCCCTCCGTGGTTGATCACAGATGACACATGTTAACCGCTACTGTCTCCTACAGATGGCATCCATGTCGACATGGACAGGTTGAAGAAGGGTGAGGTCAAGTAAGTACACCACACTGCGCGCCCAGGGTTCTAGTTCCAATCCCACCTATCATATAGTCGCAAGCGATGCGCATGAACAGATGAAGTAGTCCGCTAACTTTCTTGTCTGCTAATAGTTTGGGTACCTCGATGTAAGCTTCCCCCGACCTTCTATCCCTCCCTTACGACATCGAGCCTCTCCACGACACGACAGGATTCCAGGTATCCACACGCGAAGCAGCAGCGATGTCTAACGAGCTTGATGTAAATACAGTATGGCGGTCACATTCAAGGACGGTGTTATTCTCGGTTAGTGTCTTCCAGCCAACAACACTACACACCCTTGGATTCCGGAGACAGAATCGTCGATCGCAGGCTGACACCTTGAACAGGAGCCGACTCCCGCACAACCACAGGCGCCTACATCGCCAACCGCGTAACGGACAAGCTGACCCAAGTACACGACACCATCTGGTGCTGCCGCTCCGGATCCGCCGCCGATACACAAGCCGTCGCCGACATTGTGCAATACCAGCTGGGATTGTACCACATGGTCAACGGCAGGCCTCCGACGACACAGATTGCGGCTGCTGTCTTCCAGGAGATTGCTTATGCCAACAAGGATAGGTTGACGTATGTTTTTGGTGGCCCCCTTCCCTTTATCTCACTTTGCTGCGTTTCTCTCTCTTTCTCTTGCGCCCTCTTCCTCTTCTCTTATCATGCGCAGATCGGATTTCGTGCTGACTATTGGATTTCAACAGTGCCGGCCTCATTATTGCCGGCTGGGATGCCCGCCACGGTGGTCAAGTGTACAACATTCCGCTCGGCGGCTCCCTGCACAAGCAGCCGTATTCGATTGGTGGTTCCGGTTCCACATACATTTATGGTTACTGCGACGCCAACTGGAAGGAAGGAATGGAGGAAGCCGAAGCCGTAGCGTTTGTCAAGGAGGCACTCAAGGAGGCGATCAAGTGGGATGGCTCCTCGGGAGGTGTCATCAGGATGGTGGTGTTGACGGAGAAGGGCGCCGACAGGCATTTGTATTTGCCGGATTCGGATTACAAGGTGAGGCACCAGTGATGAGATCTCGGAGAATGGGCTGGTTGGGCTCGTGGAAATGATGGCCATCTATCTGTAACCCGAATGGGTGGATGAAATGTAGCAGGAGACGAGCTAAAGGTCCAGCCTCAGCCTTCAGCCAAGAAAGTACACCAGAGAAGGTGTGTTAATACGAAATGATACATAAGAAAAGACGTTAGACCATGATCTGGATGTAGGAAGACTAAAACAAAACTGTTTCCTGCAGGCTTAACTGATACAGCTGGAAGTGGTCCCTCATTCCCTTGAACATGAGGATAAGTTGGCCTTCATTCATGTTCATAAGCGGGACCTCTCGTATTTGGATAAGGTGCTGTAATTATTAGGTAGCATATACTTATCATAGCTATGCTACTATACCCCACTATGGATGAGGCGTGGCGAACCCGACGGGAGGTTGGCGATGGGTAGGTGTCCATGGTTTGGCGTCATAGTTGTTGTTACACAAGGTAGAGCCAATAACGTCAAGATGCCATTCTTTCACGCAAAAGCTACCGCCGTTGTGGGTTCATCACATCTTCTACTTCTTGAAAGCCAAATAGATCAAAGTAGATATGTAGCCTCGATAAGCGCCAGCGGAGTGAAAGTGAGGAGTTTTGCTAGGATCCATTGCCACATCACTCGCTAACGATACCAAGTCTGCTGTACATCAGCGAGCGCGGCGAGTTTGTTGCGTCAAACGCGGTCACACGAAGAACCCACTTCATACGTCAATGTTCCCGTTGATACGTAACGATGCTGATACGTGGAATACGTAAATTACCAATCAATGGCTTCACATATAGTAGTACCGGTCGCAAGCGTGGTCGTCCTCTGGCTGTGGTACGAGGACGGATACCTCCTTGCTGTCTTACCTCTGCCATTCTAGACCGGCTTCAATATAGCTTCGAACTTTAATGAACTTAGGTGTAAGGTGTTTTGTGGTCGAGGCTTCCGTTCTTACAGGTACCCAGTACCTGTAAACGCCAGCTTTTCGTAAAATTACACGCTCAACTCTTCGATCTCACGTCTCTTTTCATCTAAAGGAGCCATTTATACAGCTCCTACCAACTCAGACGCCCTTCAAGCCATCCACGGCGCTGGACGTGGCAGGCAAGCATACCCTACCTACCTCTTACCTTGAACAGGCGGATATATTGTTTGCTGGCAGCCTGGTCTCCCGTCCCAGGGTTGGGCTGCATCGTAACCGACCTTGCATCTGATGGGCTGAAGGGCAATGGCGTCAACAGCGACATAGTGGCATACAGAAGATAGACAACAAAGACAACTGACGCGCGATGGGCCGAGCAAGGAAGGTGAGTGACCAGGATGTCGGTCAGCGGTCATCGGTTTGAAAGGGGAGGTTGGTCAAGTTTTTCTGTAAAACGTTGATATGGTCAAGTCGATACGGACCACATACCTACCTACCTACCTGCATAGGCAAGTAATCTCGGAATTCGTTTGTGTGTGCTTCCACTGCTTGTTGTACAACGCACCTAGCATAGCATGCATGACGCGCACGATATTTTACCGTTGACGAGGATAGGCGCATCCTTGTTTTTCCTTTTGTTGAGGTAGAGGTCGTAGAGTTGTGGATGGATGTGGAAGGGCGTTATGTCGCGAGATGGGCTGTCTGGTGGTTGTATTTCTGTTGTTTCCTCTTCCTTCTCAATGTTTACTCGACTTGCGCGCCCACGTGTTGACGTTCCGCTTGTGTGGTTGGTGTTTTATCCCGAGGACCTGAAGGGGGCATGGATCAAAGTTACGCCTAGGAAGTTCAGCTGAGGACTAGTAATAATGATCCACTGTTGTATACCTCTCTCAGTTCGCGTAATATTCAGTTACAATACACTACGCTACCATCCGTCCCGCGTACAGCCAGACACAGCCCCGTAGCGACCCCGTAGCGACGCCCCCGGCGGCAGTGCCCACCAAAGCTGAAGCCTAGGCACCGGGAAGGAAGCCCCCACTCTGGGGTGGGCGTTTCGACCTGATGCCGTCCCGATACCGATTAGTACCTACCTTACTACCTTGGCAATTACCTAGTACACTACCTTACACTAGTACTCTACCTTACCTCATCCTCTGTGTTTCCGCAATCCAACCCGACGGACCATCCAATTTCGACAAGTCCCGTCTTGATTGCAGTTTGCAACCTCCCGCCATCGCATCAATCCCGCAGTCATTGGACTTATGAGAGTCGCCGTGACTGACTCTGTTTGCATCGACACCGACCGCAGCCTCGACATCCATCCATCCATCCATCCACTCTTCCAACCAGCCAGCCAGTTCCGTACCACAAATGACGACCCGGTAAACGCCTCCGATACCACTTCGCTTCTACTCCAACATCCGACCGCAATAGCATCCATCATACGACGACAGTTTTCGATAGACGCCGCGACAACAGGCAAACACCCAGACTTCCAGACGCCAGATAGACACAGACAGACAAGAGACAACCAGCAGACAATGCCAGGATGGCTGCTCTAATGGGTGACGTCTTTACCGATACTCCGCGCTTCCACGACAGGATGCACCCTCAACACTCCTCGTCCCACTATCAAAGCCCCTCCCACTCCTCCTCCTCGCCATCAACGACCACCTCGTCCGCGGCCGCCACCCGCCCAAGAACGACCTCGATTCATAACCCTCAGTCTCGCCCGACCCCGAGCCCTAGGAGGCAGGCCGCCGCAATCGCTACGACTCCAATTCCACGATATGCTTCCTCTTCGCAGCAACAGCAACCTCAAGGCTGGATGGAGTCCACCCCAAGCACCGATGACGCACAGGCAAAGCACCACCAAGAGTTCACCGGAGGCGCCTCCCGTTTCCCTTCCCCACCTTCGTCTGCTTCTCCAAACAGACCCCTCCGACAACAACAACAACAACAACAACAACAACAACAACAACAACAACAACAACAACAACAACAACAACAACAACAACAACAACAACAACAACAACAACAACAACAGCAACAGCAACAACAACAACAACAGCAACAACAACAACAACAGCAGCAGCAGCAGCAGCAGCAGCAGCATGGCGTCCACGAAACGGTCCCAACATCGGCGCATGACCCGTCTTCAGCTTCGTCTTCTACCGCCTCGTCTACTAGCACCGCAGCCACCGTAGTGCCCGCCGACCATTCTGGGGGTGGGAGAGGTATCCCCTCTCCGGCTCTGGACGCCGACAGCAACGGTCGCAGTTGGAACCCGTCTGTCCAGCACAGCCACCGCACTGTTCCGTCCAACAACCATCTCCCAATCGATGACCGACCCAACACCCCCACTGCTCGCATCCCCAACTACCAACAAGCTCACCAACTCCCTCCTCCACCCCAGCCCAAGGTGATCAAGATCCGCGACCTCCACCACATCCAAACGCTCGTTTCACAAGATGGCCACCCGCTCTCTGCCTCTTCCGGAACTGGCAATGGCATGCTTACCGACGACCCCCCGCTCCAACAAATGCGCTACGAAATCAGCGGGATGCCCATCTCGGATATCATCGAGATGGTGGCGGCGCTTTTGACCAAGATCACGACTACAAACGACTTACAGCATGACGCATTGCAGAGGAATCAGGTGCATATGAGGCAGGCGGAGGCGCAGGCGAGACACCAAGAGGAGCGACAACGACGAGAGAAGGAAGGCGAGGAAAGTAGCGGGGGCCGAGGCCGGAATGGGAGCAGTAGCGGAGGGCCAGGAACTGGGAATGGCGCAGGGAGCAGTAGGGAGGTCGGACACAGCAGCAGCAGCGGACACATGTCCCCGCTTTCCTCCTCTGTCCTCGCCTTCCACGGTAAGAACGTGCCGGCCATCACAATTCTCAGCTACCTCACCCGCATCCACAAATACTGCCCCACCACATATGAGGTGTTTTTGTCACTGCTGGTCTACTTTGACCGCATGACGGAAAGAGTTAACGATATGGTGATGAAAAGCGAAGAGGAGCGGAGAAGAAGACACCACGAGGAGCAGCGTGCCCGACAGGAGAGGGAGAAGCAAGCTTCTGCGACGGCGGGTTACGAAAAGGGGACGGCAGATGATCCAGATGTCCCTATGCGGGATTCGCCTGATGATGACAAGAGACATGATAGCGACGAGACAGACTCGGACTTGGCCGACGATGACGACGAAGAGATGCCGGATGAGCCAAGGCAGAGTAGTGGGAGCAGGAGGGCAAGGGAACAGGAAGAGGAGGACGAGCAGGCGACGTATTTTGTCGTGGACAGCTTCAACATTCACAGGTTGATCATCGCTGGAGTGACGTGCGCGAGCAAGTTCTTTAGCGATGTGTTTTATACTAACTCGCGTTATGCTAAGGTATGTTTACTTTCCCCTGTTCCCTCCCTTTTTTTTCCGCCCCTCCCCCTATCCCAATCCACTTCTCCTCCACTTTCTTCCGTCCTCTCTCCCCTCTGCTACCCCTGCCTGTGCCTCCACTCCCCTTCCCTTCCATTCGTTCATCAACACTTTTACCTCCCTCCTCTATTTCATCGCCTCTTCTCTCTTCACTTCTGGGTCCAAACATCCAGCCAGCAGGTACTAACAAAACGATCCAGGTCGGCGGCCTTCCCCTCCCAGAACTCAACCATCTCGAGCTCCAATTTCTCCTTCTCAACGACTTCCGCCTGGCGGTTCCTGTCGAAGACCTTGAAGCATACGCCACCATGCTGGTAGAGTTCTATGCCAGGGAAGTTGTTGCGCAGACGACACGAGGACGATCTAGCGCCTCTGCTAGTGCCACTACTGTTGCTGGGTCGAGTAATGCTGGTGCTTCGGCAGCGGAATAGAATACTGGTATTACCGATAGCATGGCCGAGGAAATGGAGAGATTAGGTCTTTCAGAAAGTGAAGAGGATTCGGAGGGTTCGGGGAATGTTTGGGAATGTGAAGAGGATGGGAGAGAGCGAAGTACCTACTCCGAAACAATTGGCGTCCGGGGGGAAATTGGTACGAACAGGGTGGGAGATGAGGAGACGACGTAGGAGGATTTAATTGCTGTTCTCGGATACAAAGGAGAGATGGATGCTGCCTTGCGAAGCGGAGAGGAGGATACGGGGAGCGTGTGTGGTGTGCCAGCGTTTGTTGTGGTATCGTTGTTGCCGTTCTGTTGTTGATGTTGTTTTTGTTGGCCAGCAGTGGGTATGTTTGCCGTTGGTAGTCGGTTGATGACGTTTTCGCTACTTCAAGTTGTCTCTTTTTGGTCTTCTGTTTTCTTGTCTGGTCCCGGACCTTACCTACACACTACTACAGCTTACTCAAGCTGATGGATGACGGCATGATCAATTTCAGTTCTTTTCATTGTCATACACTGCTTGCTACTTCCAGCTTCTTCCGCTTTTGACGAATTCGCTATATATAGACATTTGGCTGGTTTCGGGTCTCTCTTTTCTCCCAATTTTGCGCTTCTTCTTTCCGTCCGTCGTCTTCCTTGCTCTTTCAGTGCTTGTCTCTCTTGGGCTCTTTCGTTTTATGCGTTCTCATTGAGTCGTGCTCCCTCTCTGGACAACAAGAAAGATAGCGCCATGTTTTTTACCATGAGCGATGATGGATTTGAGTCACCTTCCTTTTCTTGCCCTTCTTCTTGTTCTCCATGATGTAGTGCAGGACTGGTATGATGAATGAATAGACGATCACTTACCCCTTGCACCCACGTAGTACATGTATTTTGCCTACCTACCTACACTTCTGCACTGATTCTGTCGATACCTTTCCCCAAAACTCTTACAGCCTCGAAATCTGAAGTTTCCATCCTCTCTGACTGTCTCCCCAAAAATAGGGTCTTCACTGCCGTAGTACCTTGACTATCTCGGATTAGCTCTCCCCCGACGTAGCATCGTCTTACGGCGTGTTCCTCAGCGGTCGGGCGTCGGGCATGACAGGCATCTAGACGTAGAAAAGGGTGGGCTAGGTTGATGCCCGTTGGCGTGGCGTGTTCAGTTTGCCGATCGGTAAAAGACGGGAGACGGTAACGGGTCGGATGTCGCCAACCACTATGAACAAGGCTTGGCCCCCCCTTCTTTTAAACAAGAGGCGGCACGCAATGCGGTTATAACGGCATATTGACCGATTCACTTAAAACCGGGGGGGGGGGGGGGGGGGGGGGGGGGGGAGGGGGGGATTTTGTGATTTGGATTCTTGGCGTTTACTTCTTATCGAGCTTTCTACTTATTTTATATATATGTATATATCTCTCTCTTTTATTTCCCGGAGAGGGAGGGGGGGAAGAGAATGGAAGAGGGGTGGGGAGGTACACAATCGCGTGCTTCGAGGATCGAAATCGGAGGGAGGGAGACAGGCGTGAGACAGCCGGGAGGGAATGCCCCTGTCTTATCTGGGAGAAAAGACAACTGCGTTGTTCGGATTCGGACCACTCACTGACCAGTCACTTTTCACCTATACACTAGTAGGTAACTACTAGTTTGGACGATAGTATCGCTGCATGTTGATCGCCACTCACCACCACGGTCACTAGCAAATCCTGCCCAACACTGTACTCAGGTGCATCAAGGTGTGACATTGCTGCGATAAGGCTGCCAGGGCTGTTTGTAGGTACATATGGGATCAGAACCTCAAGGACAGAAAGACAATGGCTTGAACAGATACAGAAGCGCACGAGAACATGAACATGAAGCTGAAGGAGGGAAAAAAAAGATGACATCGAGGACCCCAAGGACCCTGACTGCTTCTTGCACGGTTGCACGTGAGATAGGTACAGGGCTTTTGCAATTTCCAAAACAAAGAATTCGCCTGCTGCGACTGCCACCGTCGTCAGCCAAGGCGTTGTTGGTCGTGTGCAATCGCCGTGTCTGAGTCCTCCTCTTTGTGTTTTTGATGGTTGGGAATTTCATGACGCCGTCCTTCAAACTGCTTTGTCGCCGCAATGCAAGCCAAGCAAAGTGTCTACACAGTACGCTTGTCAGAAGTAGACCAAAGAGGAAAGCAACGGCAATGGTTTTTGCGCCGTGTGGAATCGGGATCGAGTTGATTGGGGGCTAGTGGTTTGGGGGTAGGTCATGGCAAGTGGCGGACGAGAATACCCAAAAGGGGAGGGAAGGAGGGGAACACAAAGTTGGGTTATTAGGTAGGTATGTGACTAACAGGCGCAAACGAGGAAGGGAGTAAAAATAGTGTAGATTCTTCACTGGGGGCTCAAGGGGTGGTAGATGGGGGTCAAAGACTGGTGCGCTCGATTGGGAATTTTGCAACTCTGCTTGAAATTTCTAGTCTTTGGCAAGTTGAAGGCGAAGATCGAAGAGATCAACGGCGAGTCCAACTTTCAAATCCCAAATTCTAGAACGGGCGAGACCTGCATGTGTAGACCAAGCTCAGGTCTTGGGTCGTGGTCTGGTTCTTTCCCTTGGAGATCGAGATGGAACTGGACCTACTTGAAGGAAGGGACTCGGACTGGAACGCTGTTTGAGAAGTGTCGACTTGTACGTTCCTGATGCGCGAGGGGACGGGCTCTCCGCGATGTTGATCGTGGCTTCTGGGATCTGTCTGGGTCTGGGGAAAAGGAGATGGAGCGAGGCGTTACTTTGACTTCACTCGCCTACCTACTGCGTACCTTCCCCAGTACGACAATGAATGTCAGGAGCTTGAATGACGGTTCAGTCAACCGCCATCGTTCATCGAAACCGACCGGCATGACAGGTGAGGGGTAACACACCCCCAAGACCCCAATCATGCAAGTACGACCATTGTTTTGGCTGATGTTGACTCTTTTTCTCACCAAGTACTTCCAGTCCACCAAACCTCTTGTGTCTCCAATTCAAAAAGGTAAGCAGACCCCCAAAAAGAAAACATGTACAGAAAGTGAATCACCCTTCGGCCCAACAAAAGGTCGAAAGCCGAAGGAGAACGGTAAAATGTGGAGTACCATATGGCTTGGTTCTTTGGGATTCCCCAGCATCTCTCCACCTCTCCACAAAGCAAATACCACCCTTCCCCCCCGTCCCCCGCATATAAACCCCCGAAAAGCTGGGGTCGGCCGCTGTGGCCTGCGCCAAAGGCTCCACACGCTGGCAACCCAATCGCTGAAGCCGGTCAAGATCGACGACATGCCGGGACGGAGAACAAGGCAGTCACTGGCAGGCAAAGACGACTTTTACCTAACAAGCAAAGACTCGGAAAAGTTGATCAGGGGTCGGAAAGAATCAGGCCAGCCAAGAACATTGAAGGTCAGTCTGTCAATAGACCAGCCAAGCGGACTGCATTTCCTTCTCAGCGGCAGTCTTACCTACACAGTCCACAGTCAGGACTACGTTACATTACGGGTTACCATGTGTGGTTAAACATAGCCGGACGGTCCAAGAACGACTGGACCACTACACATGAGCCCATCCCGTGTTGTGGGTGTGGTACAACCTCCAACGGGAGTGAGGAGGAGTGCTCCCCCAAGTCGTACTCGTACAGTGTCTCGAATGCCCTCCAATTGGTTTGCCGAGTACGTACCGATGATCCCTTCCTGAAGCCGTCTTGGCCTGGCCCGAGCCTACACAGTGCACTACATAGCACGCTGAGTGAGATCCATGGCGAGCAAAAAAAAAAAAAAAAAAAGATGGAGGCCAATATTGGGGAACCATGGAAAACCCTGACCTTATTGAAAGGCTGGCGTTGGAATCCGGGGACTGGGGGTGATGGGGACTGAGGAGGGGAAAAAACGTATATCTTCCTCCGGTACCCCGGATTTGGTGTTCCGTCTTCGTCGCCGTGTCTCTTTCTCCTTCATCATTCCCTTTCTCCCCGACACCAGCTTCCCAGAAAGTTAATACACTCTAGGGGCTTGCTTGGTGTAAGTGACCAAGCGTTCACCTTGACCATGGGCCACAATCCAGACCTGGACAGTAGCGGCACTGCCGGGTAAGTCTTTAGTTCCACAAGTCTCCTCAAGTTCTCTCAAGAAGACCTGTTTTACTAACACCCACCCAGAGAACCCAAGGGTGTCACCGGCTCGCACATTGAACAAACCTCGTCCAACCTCGAAGCCAACGTTAACCTCGAAGCCAAGCTCAAGAACCCGCTCGAAGGCCTTTCCCGCGTCGAGCTCCTGTCACGCGTCGAGACCTTTTGCGCCGAAAAGAACCTAACCGAGCACCTCCCTCTCTTCCGTAAGGGAGCACTCATCGCCCAATCCCCGGACAACTATGCGTCCATCTCGGGCCCAGAAGCCTTGGATGATGAGGAGAAGGCAGTACTTTTGAAGGAGGTCGAACACAAGTGGCGGCTGCCGGCGAGATTGTTCCTGACGATTGCGACTTGCTCGATCGGTGCTGCTGTCCAAGGTTGGGATCAGACGGGCACGAATGGCGCGAATATCTTCTTCCCCAACTATTACGGTATCGGAGGGGACACTGCGAGGGAGAAGTTACTTGTCGGATTGATCAATGCTGGGCCCTATATTGGGAGCGCGTAAGTTTTCTCTGTTTCTTCTTTTTCCACGTTCAACAGACACGGTGGTTTCCTGCAGTTGTCGGTTCAATATTGACTAACATTAAACAGATTCATCGGTTGCTGGCTTTCTGATCCCATCAACAACTGGATCGGTCGTCGTGGTGTTATCTTTGTCTCTGCTCACTTCTGTATCTGGCCCGTCATCGGTTCTGCTTTCTGTCACACATGGCCCCAGCAACTGGCCTGCCGTCTGCTGATGGGTATCGGTATGGGTGTGAAGGCATCAACGGTGCCGATTTATGCCGCGGAAAACTCGCCTGCTTCTATTCGAGGTGCGCTGGTCATGTCATGGCGTGAGTACTCCCAAGTGTTCCTTACTACAGCTAATTGATGACGGAAAGATGCTAACACCAGACCTTTCCAGAAATGTGGACAGCCTTCGGCATCTTCCTGGGCACCGCATTTAACCTTGCCGTCTTCCACGCCAGCTCCAATGTCAACTGGCGCCTCATGCTCGGTGCCCCCTTCATTCCCGCCGTGCCTCTGCTTCTACTCATCTATCTCTGCCCCGAGTCCCCGCGCTGGTACATGAAGAAGGGCCGCTACCCAGAAGCCTGGAAATCCATGGTCAAGCTGCGCAACCACCCTATCCAAGTTGCCCGCGACATGTTCTACATCCACTCGCAATTGGAAGTCGAGCACCAGCTCCTCGCCGGCTCCAACTATGCCAAGCGCTTCGTTGAGCTCTTCACCGTCCCTCGTGTTCGCCGCGCCACCCTCGCCGCTTTCACCGTCATGATTGCCCAGCAGATGTGCGGAATCAACATCATCGCCTTTTACAGCACCACCATCTTCAAGGATTCCGGCTCCACCGAATTTCAAGCCCTGCTTTCGTCCTTCGGCTTCGGTCTAGTCAACTGGCTCTTCGCCTTCCCCGCCTTCTGGACCATCGACACCTTTGGCCGGCGCTCTCTACTTCTCTTTACCTTCCCGCAAATGATGTGGACCCTGCTAGCAGCCGGCCTCTTCACCTTGCTCGACATGGGCCCTGCCCGGACCGGCCTCGTCGCCTTATTCGTCTTCCTCTTCGCCGCGTTCTACTCCCCCGGTGAAGGTCCTGTCCCCTTCACCTACTCGGCCGAAGTCTTCCCCCTCTCTCACAGAGAAGTAGGCATGGGCTTTGCCGTTGCCACCTGTCTCTTCTGGGCATCTGTTTTGGGTATTACCTTCCCCTTCCTGCTTGACTCTCTCGGCACCGTCGGCGCCTTTGGTCTGTACGCGGGCTTCAACCTGGTGGCGTTTATTGCCATCTTCTTGGTCGTGCCGGAGACGAAGCAGAAGACGCTCGAGGAGTTGGATTATGTCTTTGCTGTGAAGACGAGCAAGTTCATGTCGTATCAGTGCACCAAGGCGCTGCCGTGGTTCATCAAGAGATGGGTGTTTTGGCAGAGGAATGCGAAGCTGGAGCCACTTTATGAGTTTGATCGGATCAAGGAGGCGGAGAAGGAGAGGAGAGCAGAGGAGGAGAGGAGGGCAAAGGAGACGGGAACTATTACCTCTACTGCTACAGGGGCCGAGTTGGATGAGAAGAAGGGACTGGGTCATGTGAATGCTCCTAACGCTTAGAAAGACAAGGGACGGTTCGGTTTGGTTGGTGCGTTGTTGGTCGGTCTTGGAGATTGTCATGTGGTTTGGATGGACGGATTATGATATCTCTTTCCTGTCGTTCCTTCGGTGATGTCCTCATGTGTTACGCTCCCAATTTTGATACCACTATAACATTTCAAGCAAATAAAAGAAATTTGATGACATGTCGTGCGTTTCCAACTATCATTAGAGGTACCGAGGTCGACTATCGGTGGTTTGTCGTCGGTGCACTACTAACTGGCTGAACTTGGCGAACTGGTGTGGTGTAGTGGTTCACGACAGGGACTGGACTGGCCGGCTTCGCATTGTTTGACCTTATCGTCCACTAGTAAATAACGGGTAATAATTCCCCGTACCCCTCAGGTACGTCACTGACAAGTGGAACCTTTGTTATCAGCAGTGTTATCAAGAATGAATACCTCTACAGAATTTATAATGACTCTTTCTGTATGTGAAGAGGCCGACATCAACAACACCTTGAGGAATCGAGTCGTTCACTCATTTTGCAATGATCACCACGTCATTAACCGGCTTTACCATCTTATTCCTCGTTGTCCTGGCCGTAGGAGCTCATCTGTGGCTCCGTTCCCGTCAGAGATGTACCACCTCATCGCTGTCTGTCGATGAGAAAACACCATTCCTTCACGGCAGCACCGGCGATCAACAAAATGAGAAAACCGACGAAGCAACCATTGTTCCCTTGCCGGACTTTGACTGGAAAACGACTGAGCCGCTGAAGCTCCGCCCCTTCAAGCCCAAATACCACATCACCATGGGTACCGTAATCCCTTCTTTCATCCGTGCTCCTTATATCCATCGCCAACCACTAACACTCCACCACCATAGGCCTTCAAAACAGCACCCCCTCGGACCTCATCCTAATGGACAGCAACTACCTCTCCCGTATACGTTCCCGCCAAAAGATCCTCTCCCTTCACGCCTCCGAAGTCATGGGCGTTCTGCCCGAAGGTCAGGCCGCTGTCAAGGAGTTATACACGTACCTGCTAGGCGAATACCTCCCCGTCCGGTATCCGACCATGTTCCGCATCGTCTCTTCCTATCCCGGTTGCCCCGACACGACTTTCCACAACTTGATCACCAATTCTTCCTCCCCCCTGTCCCCGCCTCCCTCCGACCCCCTCGACTGTTTGAGGGTGATAGCCCAAACCGTAGAAGACGATTTCTTCCTCTTGCTTCCCTTCCCGAAACCCAACTCCCCCACCACCAGTGAGATGGAGCACAAGTGCGTCGCCTTCATGAACCTGCACCCCTCCGGCTTTTCCCCCTCCTCCAAACTCGGTCTCCCCATTTCGCAGATCCACGCCCCTGTACCATCCTACGAGAAAATCGGGCCGTCAATGGAACGCTTCTTTGCCCGTTTGTCCTGCGACAAGCTCGTCAAGAGGATGAATTGGGCTATGCAGTTACATCCCGACCTCTATTGCCCGGGCGGTAACCACGTGCATCAGAAGGACTTGGATACATTGGAGGAGGTGACGGAGTTTGGGGACGAAGAGGCGGAGAAGGCGAGATTGAGGGTTGAGTTGCAAGGTGTTTGGAGACTGAGAAAGACGGAGGCGGTGGTTTTTGGGTTCAAGACTTATATGTATGGACTTGTGGAGGTAAAAGAGGAGGTTCTGGAAATGGAGGATGGGGGGACGACGAAGACGGGGGAGGCATTGGCGCAGGCAATTGAGGGATTGGGAGAAGGGAATGCGCCGGGGATGTGGACGTATAAGGGGGCGGTGAGGTGGGGAGCGGCGGTGGCTCGGTGGTTGAGGAGTTGATGGGAAGGAACTGAAGGCCTATATGTATTGGGAAGGCGTGATGCTTTAATGTTGGCTCACCATGATGAGGAAAGAGAGATGACGGAGAAAGGGTAACGGATGTAGGATGATTGAGGCGGCCGTGACCCGACTTCGGAGGACGGAGAGGTCGGGGATTAGCATTTTGATCCGGATTACAAAAAATTGATAATCCCTGAATATCACCACTGGTGTTAGGTACCTCTAGTCAGCTTTCCCGTCACAACAGTCATCAATTGAAGAACAAGGGGACATCGTTTTCCCTCTATACACTTCTTAACCCCGAACTATCCCCCGATTGGAGCAACTCGTCTCGGTAACGGGGCTCAACGACAAACGGTCAAGACGGCGCTAGGAGCTATCGGCCAATCACCACCGACCGCCCCATTGGTAGGGGTTGACATCTCCGAGATGATCTGATAACAGCTCGGAGTTAACCAGGACACCATCTCTTGGCGTTGTGTCCTTATAATTCGACTGCTTACCTCTTTTTTGATTTTGATCTGATAATGAAGTACTTCCCAAGACTCTCGCTGATTTCTGCACCTCTCGTGGTTGCTTCTGTCGTCTTTTTATTCAGCTTTGTTCTCCAAATGTCCATGGATCGCAACGTGCAACAACCACAGACAGATATGGCTGTCAACGCACTCAAAAATGTGGTTGTGGTAGGAGGGTCATATGTTGGGAAGGTGAGTTAGGGCCCTTCTTGCCCATTCACGGCACGAATTCTCAAAATGAAATGCTGACCATCGCTTAAAAGGCCGCAGCCAAAGAACTCGCAAACCTCCTTCCCTCGTCTCATCGAGTAAGGCTCACCATTTGTTCCATCCTCACCATCAAAACCCCCAACTAACACAGGCAACCTCCAGGTCATCCTCATAGAACCCCACACCCACTTCCACCACCTCTTCGCCTTCCCCCGCTTCGCCATTCTCCCCTCGCACGAACACAAAGCCTTCATCCCTTACACCTCCCTCTTTTCCTCCTCCTCCTCTTCCCCTTCCTCCCATCTGATCCTCCCCGCCAAAGTCCTCTCTCTGTCTACCTCGCCCAAGGGCAATAACCTCCTCACCCTCGACCGGCCCGTTTCTTTTTCCTCTTCCCCTTCCTCCTTCTCTTTGGAGAAAACAACCAAAATCCCCTTCGACTTTCTCCTCTGCGCAACCGGCACCCGCCTTTCTCCACCCGGCACCTCCCCCCACGACACCAAACCTCTCTCCATTTCGTTCCTACAATCCTTCCAAAACGCCATCGCCCACCCTGAGACCAAACACGTGGTGATTGTGGGGGGTGGCGCAGTGGGGGTGCAAATGGCTTGTGACCTCAAGGAGCTGTACCCCGCTAAGCGCGTGACGCTGGTTCATTCGCGCGAGCAGTTGATGCCTGTTTATCATGAACAACTGAGCGAGATTATCAAGGAGCGGTTTGCTGAACTGGGGGTGGAAACGGTACTTGGAAAAAGGGCGGTGGTGCCGCCGGAGGAAGGGGGGTGGGCACTCCCGGTGCCTGGAGAGGAAAGGGAGAAAAAGATGGAGGTGAGATTGGTGGATGGGAGTGTGGTGGAGGGGGATGTGGTGGTGCAGGCTACGGGGCAGGAGGCTAATAATCAGTTCTTGATGGGGTTGGAAGAGAAAGAAGAGGAGAGGGGGAGGGTGATTAATCCCAAAAATGGGTTTGTCAAGGTGAAGCCGACGATGCAGTTCGCTGATGAACGGTTTTCGGACTTCATGTTTGCTGTGGGCGATATTGCGGATTCGGGGGCGCATAAAGCGGCGAGGCCAGGGATGGTGCAGGCAGCGGTGGCGGCGAGGAATTTGGTTAAGCTGATTGAGGAAGGGAAGAATGCGGAAGAGTTGGAGAGCGTGGAGGTTCAGCCGGCGGCGATACACTTGACGCTTGGTTTGGTGAGTTTTCCGTCTCCTGATGAGTTCCCTTTTTGAGGAGCTGAGTTTACTGACCTTTTGTGGTGGGACAGACCAAGAACGTCATCTTCAGAAACCCCAATCCCGCTGCTGGCCAGACCGAACCGACGTACACGTTGAAGGATGAGTAAGTCTCTCACTTTCATGCCCCGGGACAGATGTCTATAAGAAAACAAGCAGCTAACTCATGAACAGTGGCAGTACGGATATGGGCGTTGATCGGCTTTGGGTTATGAACGGCATCAAGGTTACCAGACCGCAGGAGTATCATCTATAACAATGGTGGTGTCGAGCAGAAATGGAAGGGAACCTGGAAATCTTGAGAGGGGACAACCCCAAGAACTAGGTAATCATCCCAAGTCGAATCAGTACACCAGGAAGGACGAAAAAGAAGGCGCACCACTGTTGTGTCAACAAGAAGGTATCATTATACTATTGCATTTCATCACAACATCAAAATCTCTACCCAATCCTGATGCCAATCCGCAATCATTGGCACATCTACTCGATCTTGATGCCAACCTTGCCGAAGTGCTTCTGGGCCCACTGTTTTCAATTGTCAGCATACATCTCTCTCTCATCACCACTTGGAAACCCCGGAAATAGTGACTTACCATGTACTCATAAGCCTCCTTGGCCTGGTCCAAGGTGAAGATGGTCTTGTCAACAACGGGGTGGATGTTGTTGGCCTCAATGGCAGCGCACATGTCCTCCATGAGCTGCCTGCTACCGACGTAGACACCACGAACAGTGCAGATTCTGCTGAGGGTCTCGAGGATGCTCTCCTTGGGCTGAACACCACCGAGGAAACCGATGATGGAAATGATACCCTCGTACTTGATGGCGGCCATGCTCTGGCCGAGGGTGCCGGCACCACCGACCTCGATGATGTGGTCAACACCCTGGTTGTTGGGGGTGAGCTTGCGGGCAGTCTCGCCCCAGTTGGGGTCCTCGCGGTAGTTGATGACGTGATCAGCACCGAGCTTCTTGAGCATCTCGGCCTTCTCCTTGGAAGAGGTGGTGGCGATCACCTTGGCACCACCGGCCTTGGCGAACTGGAGGGCAAAGAGGGAAACACCACCGGTACCCTGGGTGAGGACCCACTGGCCGGGCTTGAGGGCCTTGAGGCCGTAGAGGGCGTTCCACGAAGTCACACCGGCGCACACGAGGGTAGCGGCCTCAACATCGTTGAGGTTGGAGGGGGTGCGGACGACGCCGTCCTCGTGGAAGACACCGTACTGGCGGAGGGTGCCATCGAAAACACCGCCGAGGCCAGAGGAGGCAGCGCGGACGTCGATGTCGCCGAACTGGTGCCACTGGTTGAAGAGGGTGGTGACCTTGTCGCCCTTCTTCCACTTGGTGACCTTGGAGCCAACGGCAACGACCTCACCGGCACCATCGGAGGCGGCAACGACGGGGAGGTTGATGGGGAAAGGGTACTTGCCCTGTATTTCTTTGTCAGCTGTCTGTTCGATATGAGTTAGTGTGACATGATGGTGAGATGTACGAACCTGGGGGATGATGAGATCACGGTAGTTCAGGGAAGCACCGTGGAGACGGACGAGAACGTCGTTGTCACCGGGCTTGGGGACGGGGCCCTGCTCCTTGATGAGGCCATCAAAGCCCTTCTCCTTGCTGGTGACGACCCACTGCGGCTGAGTAGAGGGGAGAGACATTGTGAACTAGGTATTATGGTAAATCTGGTGTAGATGAAAGACAAGATGAGAAGAGATGAGATGAGATGAGATGGAGAGTGAAAAAGGTTGGAAAGAGCAGAGGTAGAAGAAGAAGGTCGAGGTATTTGTTTATATGTCGAAGGTCAATCCGTCCCCCCTCCTCGTCCACGCATGGCCAGCGATTAGTGAGCTGTATTTGTATTTGTAAACCATGATCCCCACATATCATGGAGACAGCTCCGGTCGTGACCCCACAGAAGGACGTGGGGCCTTCCAGCGCATCGTATTCCCATTGAGGTATCCATCTCGTCTTTGGCAGCTGCCTCTCTCTTCTCATCCATCATTCTTGCCAGTCAACTATGTATCTATCGCCTAACGGTATCTTGTATCGTGTACCTGAGGGCCGTTCTGGCCGTGTAATCCCCCCTCAGTTGATGGGATGACCGACGTCATCATTCGCCAAGTTTCGTATCATCGGTACCTAGGCCTCTAAGCGAGGTGTACCCAGACCCCCGCGAGTGGAGTCGTCCCGGCTCTTCCTACCGAACCGCCCGTCTTATTTGCAACTGCCGCCGGTGCTACGGTACCGTCGTCTCGGCGCCGGCCCGGACCCGTGAGCTATTGATGCCCACGTGAAAGGTACACTATGTACACTCCCGCTTCACTGCTGTCGATATCATCAAGTTCAACCTCACCATTCCATCCCATACACTACAGTGGGAACCACCACAGGTCAGTGGAGAAACAGCATCCGAGATCCGCAAGCGCCCCGTTACGTACATGTACACACCGCTCGGCAACACCTCCAATGACAAGTCTAGAATCTTCGATAACGCGGTTGTTGATTATAAACCAAGGCCCCGTATCTTCCGCCGACTGAATCGCGTTCAGTTGTCGATGTTGATCGAACATTCATTCGCGCCGATCAGAGCAGACTGGATTCGTCAACAGATCCAAACATGAAAGCTTTGGGGGGGGGATTCGAGGTGCTGTTATCCACGTTTCATGTGTCAGCACAGCGTCTAGAAATACCCCCAAGGACGACCGGAACAGAGAGGACACTCACAACAATCGAAGCTCGCCAAGCCCGGTAACCGCATCCCATCCCTCCGCTGCCAGGAACCCACAAGCGGAATTCACTCCGATCGTAACGTCGTTGAAGATGTCGGGATCCGCACACTGTTTGTTTCGCATTCGGTTTTTGTCAGCCCTATCGCGTGGTCTCGTATCATCTTTTTCCCGCCCATCGGCTATACGCTACACCGTCGCGCCTCCCATTCCTTTCCCTACCCAAACCGCTTCCCACATCCACCACGGTCCATACCTTACCCTTTCTTCCCACATCGGCGAAAGGAAATGGAAAACTTACACGCAAAAGGATGAACAAACCCCAACCTCCCTCACACCCCTTCATCACCACCTTCACTCTCTCCTCAACGTGTTTTCTCAACGTGCACAGCCAACGTTAACACCGCGCCCCACACCGGAGCCGCCAGCGACGTGCTTCCAATCGCGTGCCAATCACCAGCGAACCGAACCAGATAGTGATCATCAACAGCGCTGACGTCAGGATAGCCACGGCCTGCCTTATTGTAAACGCCGCTTCCGAGGTTGAGGTCGCTGTCATTGTTGATGGTAAAGTTCGTTGCAACGAGTTCGCGTATAGCGTAGCCGGTAAAATTGAGTTGCGATCCGACTTGGGGAAAGTCCGAGGTGATGGCTGAGAAATTGATTTTTTTTTTTTTTAAAAACCTCAAGGCAAAGCATAGGAAAGATTTTGAATACCACCCCACCCAAAGCGAAACCTCGATGTGGCTCGTTCTATCAACAGGCATCTCGGTCCTCGTGGGTTAGTCTTCGACTTCGAGACATCCAGACCCATTCAGAAAGCACCAACCGCCAAGACATAACTTCGTTGTCGGTTAGGTTGGTGTGCCTCGCTTGCCCGGAGTGCGTGCATCTAACCGACGAGTGCCTACATACGGACATTGAACTCGCATCGCTTTTTACCTACCTACTCGGGTGAAGAGCCCTCCCTTCCATGTCGCCCTGCTTGCCAGCACACCTGTTCTTGTGACTGTCATCCCCGGGGTACGAACCGACTTCATCGCCACCCGACGACATAACCACGATTATCCCTTGAAGCTCCCGCTTCATGATTTCGGAGCATTGGCGATGGATGTGAGGAAGCCGGGAGGTCCCCTTCGCCTCCGCCGTACGAGAAAGAGATTACGGGGTTGGGGTCCAGTCCAGTCGTATAGGCCGCACTGACGGGTGCCTTCGTATTTCATGTCGGAGGCAGGGATGGAAGAGGAGGAGTCAGCGAACGAGTTGGAGTAAATGGGGTCAAGGCAGGCCGGGTCTTTCCTGCAATCGCCTGTTTCGCGTGGAATGTAGAGTAGGTGCAGTAGGAACCGATGAGGGCCTCGAAGAGCTTCTCAAGAGGATAGGTGCCGTTTGCCTGGGACCTTTTCCTTCAATGTCTACTGTCAACATCTTTGTGCTGCACCAAGCAGATAAGTTTGGCTGTTGCTTACGGGTAAATGCTGCCAAAATATCGGTACAAACACGTGCTGGTCGCGTTCCGAAGTTGTTTCCTAGAGCAAACAGAACTTAGCAAGACAGCGATGAACGAGATAAAGATACGAGAGGATCATGGGAGAAAGGAAATCAAAATGCACAGTCATGGTTAGGGACCATGTCATAGCATTTGCTTCCACTTGACGCGAAACCAAGGGCCATCCTCCATGTAAGATGGTGGTTTATGGATTGAGCACGAGTAATCAACTGGTGGGCTGTTGGTCCTGGACACCTTCAAGGAGACGACGGTCCGTTGGGTCCAAGGCGTCCGAAGACTTGATTTGATGCTAAATTCAATTGCGTGATGTGTTGGCAATTCTTGTCTTCGTGGAGGAGACCATCTACCATAGATGCTTGTTGTCAGAGGAAGAAACGAAGTGACGGGAAGTCGTCGTGAAAGGATGTGCCGAGATCACCCACTGTAACATGCGCTAAACCATAGGGCCGATCGCGCTAAAACAGCGCTGCCCACTTTCCGTAAGCTTCCCGCCCGACTCCACAAAACGTGGCCTGAGCTGCCCCGCGTCGGCTTGGACCTTATCGGGGTCGCTTATCGCAACAGAACCCCTCTGTCATCATCTCCCATTGCAGTCTTTCAAGCAGTTCCCTTTCTTCCATCCATTGAACGATCACGATGGGAATCCTCCGACTGCGCCGTACCACATACTCCGCCTCGACGAGCCTCCAGGCACCAGTAGGCAACATCAGCCCAACATGTCATCTCAGCCATAGCCGATCGCGCTATCGGTGCTCTCATCGGCTGCGCCCTCGGCGACGCAATTGGCCTCTACACCGAATTCCTCTCCACCGCCGAGTCAGAGAAAGCCTACCCGCACAAGCGCTTCGTCCTGTCTACCGTATCCTCCCCAAACTCGCGAGACCAAGCGGAATCAACACCCTTCAGACTCGACCACCACCGTGCCCCGCAAACGCCCGGAGACTGGACAGACGACACCGATCACTTATCCTGGTCTCCTTTTTACACACGGCCAAAATACCCGGTCCTGGCGTCGCTCCCTTACAACCCCTACCGATTTCTTTGGGCGGTGGGGAAAGAGGGAGAGGGGTTCTGAGCAGGGAGGGAATAAATTAGAGGTGAACAGAGTTGAATGAGAAGGTGCGTAGAAAAGATGGAGGATGCTATGAGGAATGAATGATGGGCTGAGTTCGCCATCTTGACCACGTTTGATGGGACGGACCGCTCCGTTATGCCTCATCGGCCAGTCCAAGTCAGCTTCTCCATCTGCCCCTTCACCATTCCTGACCTCTTCCATTATCAGCTCTCATTCGCGTCTTGCACTACTCTTAATGCCCCCTCTCCTTATTCTCCTTTACCATCGCCTCATACTTCTCCCTCTCCACATCCAACCTCTTCACCACCCTCGCCGGATTCCCCGCAACAACCACAAAATCCTCTACATCCTTCGTCACCACACTTCCCGCTCCAACCACCACCCCCCTCCCAATCGTCACGCCCGGCAACACCACACAACTCCCACCAAACCAACAATCCTCCCCAACCGTAATCGGCTTCCCTAGCTCCGGGCCCCTCATTCCGTTCCGCGTGATGGGATCAATGGGGTGCGAGGCAGAGTAAAAGTGGACATTTGGGCCGATGAGCGTGCGTGCCCCGATGGTGATGGGACACACGTCTAGCAAAGTGCACGACGAGTTCATGTACACCCCCTTGCCCAGCTTGACATTGCTGCCGTAGTCCATCTTGATGGGCGTGTCGATGTAGGGGAAGTCATCGAATTGGTCGGCGTCTTGCTCGGGGTCGTCCAGCTTGGGAGGCAAGGGGGTTGGGTCTTGGAGGAGGCTGTTTTGGTTGTCAACTTTTTGTTCTCTTAATGTCTACTAAACGTTTCTATCATTTTTTTTCTTTTTGTTTGGTAGGTTAGGTTAAGTTGCTGCATGAAAACAACAGCCGAGGTAAGTGTGATAAGGTGAGGTGAGTGACATGAAAGGGGCTGGGGGATGATGAAACTCACTCCATCAACAACTCGGCTACCCTCCTCCTTGACGTTTCCCCGTCCGCTGCCTCCGTGTTATACTTGAGCATGGCGCTCTTGCAGCGCGCTCTGCCTTTTACCAGGTCGGGAGTCCAGCTGTAGTAGAGCTCGCCGGCGAGCATGCGCCGGTGGTTCTCGGCGCAGTCGGCGTGGGAGGAGGGGTCGGGGCGAAAGGCGAATTCAGACATCTTCTAGTTTGTGTCGTAATGCCGAACCGGCTTGATCATATACTCTATTCTAGTGTGTTTATTCACACGGGAAGTGAAGATAAATGAGCGTTGCTTTTGTTTACTTTTGGCAACACAAAAGCAATCGTGTCATGAAGCGGAGTTGGGCGGAGTTTGAGGACCTTGTTGGTTAGCTGGCCTCGGCGGAGCGGGGTCCGTTTCCTGATACGAGGTCAGCTGTCAGCGTGGCATTGGCGTTGGCGGGATGACGGTCTGGTTTGAAAGTTTTGAACATACAATTATTGCTGGTCTATTTCCATGGACTTGGAGATTTCAGTGTCGAGGCTTTTGTTGTCTAGTTTCTATCTCATCTTGGGGATGATCGTGGCGCGGGCAAAGTGACTGGATCCTTTGAAGACAGAAGTACTCACTCATAATGACTGCCACGGAGCCAACACACCATCGAAATCGGACCATATCAGTTCAATCGGGTATGGTGTAGCGGTAACATCGTTGACTCTCACTTCTCAGGAGTGACTGCTCTCTCAACAGCCCCGGGTTCGACTCCCGGTATCCGAGTCTCAATAACTTTTTGCATTTTTTGGCTCCCTTTTTTACTTCAACAGTTTCGTTCTTTTTGCTAGTCCTTCTTTCTCTTGCCGCTTCTTTTCTTTGTGAACTGTTTGTTCGTCCCCAGTATCGATGCCAATTACGTTCTTCGAGAACACTGCAACCCGCAACCCTCTCTTCAGTACATGGTTGTTTGGTGGACAATCTTGTTGGCTGCTCCTTCCCATCGTTGTAAACTGTGGCCTGGCGTCAATTGCCGCAGGTCATTCTCCCAAATTTACCCTCCTCGAAAATTTCAGTTCCCTTTCTTCCCGCAAACACTTTTCCATTTCACCTTACCTACCTAACCCAATCTTCCATCGGCATTTGTCACTTATCGTTATAGCGCATCCAGCTAGTGCCTGTTTGCAGCGCAATTGCCCTCACGTCCCGAATACCGCCATTGAGTGCGGTCGCAGATATGCGGCAAGCGATCAAAGCAGTTAGTCCACTATCGCCTGGACACCAAAGTTCACAGAGATCCAGTTAGGCAAACATCTTACCGACCTCCGATCTCATTCTGTTCCTGGGGCCCCTCCAATACTTGATCTCCCTCGCGCCGGGCAGAGCCAGAGAGAGGTACTGTACCAGACTTAACTGACTATGATCGCTCCATCGAAAACGCGAGAATGACCAGGCCGGTGATGATGTCGTCAGCAACACGGCGCCGTTGCCAATTGGGTGCCTTGGCTCTACCACATTAGTGCTTACGACGTTACCACTGCCAGCTCAGAAAACGCAGCCAAAGGGACCTCCTCCAACGACTTGGACAAACCACCTTTCGCTTCACTTTCTCACCAACACAGCACGTTCCAAACCATGGACAATAACTCTCCAGCTCTGCAACCCCAGGCTGTGCCTTGGTCACTGTCGACATGGTGGGAAGAGTCACCTTCCTCAAGCAACACGCTGATATCCCGCGCGCCTCTTCCAGACACGAGATGCGAACAGTGCGAGGCGGCTATGAACAGCAAACCGAGGCATCTTTACCCCAAGGCTGTCTTAAGAGTTGCGCGTGCATCTCCTGATACCTGCTGGCAATGCCGCATTCTTCTGGCACTGGCTGAAAGGAGGCTGGGAAGACTCCTGGGCAATGACGAAGTGCTTGAAGCCAGGTGTGCGTGGGACAATCGTCACAAGATTATGATCCTTTATCTTGGCACTGGAGGTGGAGAGGACGACCGACTTGTCAGTATCTCTTCGCTTGATGGTAAGTGCCGCTGCCTCCGCCGAGGACCGTTTCCCTGGCTAACATTGTCTAAGCTCTTCCATGTCCCTGGAACACCTTCGACGCCAGACAGCATACCTCTTCTGTCGCCCCTGCGCTAGCCTCCCACTCTTATAAGGTAGCCTCCTCCTGGCTCAAAACATGCGTGACCGACCACCCGGGTTGTCCTGGCATGGAAGAAACTCTACTCCCGCGCCGAGTCATCCACATCGGCGCCAACCATACCGACATCCGTCTCGTTGAACACAACTCACCAACTCTGGGCCGGTACAGCTGCCTCAGCCACTGCTGGGGAGGAGCGCAACCGCTAATTACCACCACCCACAACATCGCGCAACACCTAGAGCGAATCGAGTGGAACAGCATTTCCAAAACCTTTCAAGACGCCATCAAGTTTACCGCCCATCTCGGAATTGCGTACATCTGGATTGACTCTCTATGCATCATCCAGGACTCTCCCCAAGACTGGGTAGAGGAGTCGGCCAAGATGTGTAGCATCTATGAGAACGGGCATCTCACCATTGCAGCCTCTGCTGCTTCGAATGGCAGCGGTGGTCTACCAGTTCGCGACTCCTCCGGCTTCGTTCGCCTTAGCGGCACCACATCCTCTCCTGAAAGCAAACCTTTTGACATAATAGGTTACTTCGAGCTAGGCGGCATAGAGGTACGCGACCACCCCTCCCCAACCAACCGTCGTACGCCTTTGTTTTCCCGTGGTTGGGTCCATCAAGAAATGCTCTTGAGTCCGAGGGTGGTTCATTTTGCCAAGAAAGAGCTGCTGTGGGAGTGTAAGACGGTAGGGACGTGTCAGTGTCCTCAGCCGCCCACATTTCGAAAAATCTTCTTCAAGGAGGGGCACTACGAGGCGCTGAATTCCTCCAGACAGTCTAGCGCTCGATTAGCAGGCGATCTGCTGGCTCACCAATGGCACAAGATCATCGAGTCATATTCCCGCCTCCATTTGTCGTTCCCGGGGGACAAATTTCCTGCTCTATCTGGGCTCGCCCAACAGATGAGCAAGAGGCGAGGGCATGATGTGCGGTACCTAGCCGGCCTTTGGAGTGACTCCCTCCTGACAGATTTACTATGGACTGCGACGTACAGGTATGTGTGGGGTTTGCACTCAATTGATCGTATCCTACGAGGCAAGCACGAGTGGCGAGCACCCAGCTGGTCCTGGGCTGCTCGTGACGTGCCTGTTATTTTCCCCCGAATGGGGGCGGAAAGGAATGGGTCTACCTGTGAGGCTAACGCACTGTGCAACATCATCGGCGCGGAGACTACGCTGGCTACTACGGATAAAACAGGTCGTATTTCTGGCGGGCGGCTGGTTGTCCGAGGTAGATTGTTTGATGCCAGTCTATACCGGGACATTGAACCGTCTGTTTCAAGGGGCGGATCGGCGGAAACCAAGGCTACCATCACATTGAGCGTTCAGGTTCCCGTGAACCTGACAGGCGGCGTCAAGACTTTCATCTCATTTGCCTTCGATCGCGGAACCTGCGTCTACTTCATGACTCAGGCCGACGCCCAAGGGCTCAAAAACTCGAAGCCTGATGAACTGGGGATTTTGGTTAAGGAGGGATTCAATCCTGACCCGATGGCCGAGCTTTTTTCCATGAAGAGGACTGATAGTAGGGAATATATGGGGAGTGATATCAAGGTAATGAGGATAGGAAGGGTGGGGAGGAGGATGCCTGCTCCTGATGACAAGAAATGGTTGGAGGATATGGAGTATGCATTGGTTTTGCAAGGCATTGACACTGAACCGACGGACCCTGACGGTGCTGAGGCGGCAAGGACCTACAGGCGGATCGGCATCATTCATCAAGGTCGTGAGGGTTATAAGGGGGTGGAGGATGAGAGGGAGGATTTCTGGAAGCGTTATCCGAGTTGCTTCGAGGAGGGCGGGAGAGAGGAGACAATCACTCTTGTCTAGACTGGTACAGCGCCGCAGCAGAATGGAGGAGAGGGATGGTCAAAGATCCTTAACAACGAGCTGCAAGGTACCTAAGGTAGTCCATGATGAGCTTCTCATCCCGGCCACTGGCTCGCCTCCACTTCCCTTTTATACCTCTACAGCCCAAAGCGGGAATCCTCTGGTGCTCTCGCGCCTCATGAGCATCACACATTGCACAGCGTCGCGACTGTGAAACCACGAGATCCACGTGTTTGGTTAACGGTCGACGAGCGGTGTGTTCCTCGTTTAGGAGGCCCTGCGCGTGGCCATTCGAGGATACCATGTCGAGGCGGCAATCCGTCAGTGGTGGTTTCACAGCTGGGCCCAGATATGGATGCCATATGACTGATAGATGGTGTTGCACTCCTTCTCCTTTGCCTTCTTGTTCGGTATGCCATCTCCAGGACAGCTCTTCACAGTCCCACTGAAAACCTAAAGCTTCAAGGCAACCTCCTGATGGCCGCGTTCATCTACACTACACCTTCGCAGGCACTTACTTTGTCAACGCGGCGACTTGCATGTGACAATACCAATCATCCCAAAAGAAGATGATTGGTGCCTATTTATGCTCGCTGCCAACCAGTCAAATTCTGTGAGGTGGCCGTAACACGCTAACCCAGCAGGTTCCGGCAGAGACACCAAGAAGTCTAAGGAACCGGCAAAGATCGCCATTCTCTTCGCCTAGTCGTTCCCACACTCAATCGCCTGTGCAGTCTTGGCAAGAGGTGTGTGTGCGTGCACACACACACACACACCGCACTTCTGTATTACACAACTTCGTTAAAATTCATCATTTTACAATAATTTCTATATTAATTTAAAGCCATTTCAACGTATAAAGTAATTATAATACTAATAATTAATTAAATCCATCGCGACAATACCTCCTAAAACAATCCTTAATTTAAAGCCCGCCGGCGTAAAACAATCCTATATTCGAAATAGTACGCTAATAATCTACTTTAACGAAGATTAAAATTAAGAAAATCCTAATTTAATAATTCTATAATATATTTTATCCTACCTTAAAAAGAAGAACCGTAAAACCGAATAATCTATTAAAATTATCCCTAAGATTATTCTACCTAAAAAAAAGGCTATTCCTATTAAAACTATTATTAAAAAGACTATTATTAAAAAGATTGCTATTAAAAAGGGGAAGGTTACTATACTAGAATTAAAATTAATTCTAATTCTAATCTTAGAACCGCCGTCGTCCCCCCCTAAACCCGTAATACCTATTGAAATTTCTAATAGTAAAGAAGACTTTAATAATAATAATAAAATTAAATAATAACTCCCCGTCCGCCTTACCCCTAAAAAACGGACTCTTAATATTTTATTTTATTTATCGGATAATAATAATAGTAAAGTAACCTCCCTAATTAAACTAATTACTTCGGTACTACTAGTTTAACCCTACGCCGCCCGTAAATTAATTATTATAGTACTATTACTACCGCGTCCTAAATACCCCTATTCAATACAAGTTTAATTTAATATAGTTGGTTTATATATTATTATTAACCGTATTAAATTACCTATTATCGAAGAATATAATTTATTTAGAGAGGTTAAAATTGAATAAAATAATAGTAAACTTTATAAATAACGGTTTGGGACGATACTATTTAGCGAAATCCTATATATATAGCGAAATTATATGGAAGATATTATTAGTAATAATATAATTATAGAGATAAAGTAATTAATTTCTTTATATAATATTATATATATTGCTACTACTTATAATAACCGCCGCGCCTAAATTATTATATATAATAAAACTATTCCTAAGAAGGATTTTTATAATAAATATAATAATATTAAATATAAGACCGTTATGAAATTATATTTCTATTATATTAGTTAATATTATTATTTTACTATATTATTTAAATTTTAATTAACTAACCTACCTATTAATAAAATCCCTATTACCCTATTCTCCTATAGTAATATACCTTCTATTTCTACCCCCTTTCGTAATTTAATTAATCCTTTTATTACCCTAACCCTACGAATAATTAATATATTATCGTTACAAGGGTTACAAACTCCAGCCAGTATTAAAAAATCTAAATACATTATAATAAATATTATATTAGTAGAAATTAAAAAGAATTTAGAAGAGGACTAGTAGTGAGAAGAACGTACGGGGGTAAAACTATATAGTATTATATATTAGGAACTAGTATAGGTATAAGTATATAATTTTAATTATAAATATAAAAATTATAATAAAACTATTAAGTACTAAATGTACTATATTATAAATAGGAGTATAATTTATTATAATTTTAACAATAAAAATATAAGTAAGTAGGCACGCGCTATATTATTAGGGAAGGTTATAGTAATTAACCCGCTATTTAAATTAGTATAAAATATATTAAATAATAAGGTAATAGCCGCCTCTAATATTAACGATAGTAATAGTAAATATAAAAAAGGAAATAATAATTTACTAATTAATATTAATATTATTAATAATATTAATAGTAATAATAGTAATATTAATATAAAAATTATAAATAATTTACTATAAACTACGTTAAGGAGGGACGATTTTAAAAGTCTATATTAATTATACCCTCCTCCCCTATATTTATTATACCCGCTATTATACTAATACTTCCCTCCCTACTTTTAATATCCCTAAATTTAATTACTTTATACCGCTGGCGGTTTTATTACTAACTTAATAATTACTAGCGGCTATAATTATAATATAATAAGCACTCTCCCTCTACTGGATAAAATAATAATTATTAATTTATATATATTATTAGAATATTTTACTACCGTATTCTATAAGTACCCGACCGACTATAAAACTCTCGTTACTAAGTATATTAATACTAACCCTCTTTTTATTTCTATAATAATTATAGTATTTATTTAGCTATTAGTACCGCTGTTAATTGTATTACTATTGATAGCGGATAAGGAGAATAAAGGTAAAAAAATTAGAAATTCCCTAATAAAAGCTAGAGAATTATTTATATTACGTCCGCCCGTACCTTCGACTCTTAGTTTTTATTTATTATTACTACCCTCCGCCCCGCTTAATTGGCCGGCTAAAGAAATTATTATTGAATTTTTTAAAACGTTCTACAAATATTACTATATTAAATTGTTAACTAAAGCAATACTAATATATAAAATTCTAATCACTTTAAAAAATAAGCTTTAAAATAAAGAAGCGCCGCCCGATATATTCGTATTTAAAAAGTAGCCGGTAAAATAATTTACGAGGTTAGGGTTCAATTACGACCTCTATATAGTATTTAAAAATAGTATTAAAAATTTCCTCAAAACTAAATACGCAATACTGGTAATATAATTAAATTATAATAAATATATTTTCTAACCCCTATTACTATAATTTAACTAATTAATATATATTCTAAACCCGTAATTTAATACTATATTCGAATATAATATTACTAGAATTTTCGCTTTTATAACGGGTAGTACTACTATTAATAGTCCTAGTAAATAATAATAATATATTACAAATCGATTTATAACGAAAGAAGGGGATTTCTAATATTTTAATATTATTATATAAATAAATACAATTTCTAACACTTCTAACACTTCTAACTATTACGATGCCGACCAGGAAGGACTTAGAGAAGATGTAATATTGTACGAAGGGGAGAAGATTAGAAGAGAATAGCGAAAATTCTGCTTTTAGACTATGTACATAAACCAAGTGGAGACTTAATAGAGCTAATTAAAGGATGGTTAGGTTATAGTAGCGGAATACTAAGAGGGACGGGACTATATTATATAGTATTGTAATAGTACCCCCGGCCTTAAAATATAATTGACTTTAATTATAAATAAAATAAAAATACTGCAAATTCCCCGCTCCCCTACTATAGTAGTATTGCTGTACGTTTACGCTTGCTAAAATGCGTTGCCGGCTGTACGTTACTTGCTAAAAGGCTATTATCCTTAATAATAGAAATAGCGTTATACTAATTCTAATTCGGTTTTAATAGTATAAATACCGTATATCGTATATTTCCCTTACTTCTTCTCTTACTCTTTCCCTCTATTTTTACTCCTTCCTTTCTTTTTTTAATAATAATATATTATTATTTCCTTCTATAATAATATATTATTAATAAAATATTTATACCCTATTCTTATTTTACTATTACTTTCCTACTATTATTATAAGTAAAGAAAGTTTTAGAAGGAAGTATATATTATACTACCGAAATAATTAAGGGACGTACCGCCGGTTGTAAAGTTGCGATATCGATCTTTATACTTAGATTTAATTGTATACTTTGCCTTTGTTATTATAATTTAAATATTAAAATCGATGGTACTACCCTATTAAAAATTCCCTACCTTCTTCCTATAGGGAAGAAGAAGAAGTATTACTATTATTATATATTTAAGGATAATTATAATTTTGTAAGTATTTTTAAAAATTTTAAGTTTGAAGTTTCGTTAATAAAATAAGGCTATTCTATTAATAGTTAGAAATATTTTTAATATTATTACTTTAACTGTTTAAGCTATTTTTTTCTAAGAGAAGGAGGATAGTAAATTTATTTAGGACGAAGCTATTTATATAAGTATCGCTATTAAAATGTAAAAGCTTTTCGAGAATTTTACGACGGTTAAGGAGGATGTCCATAGTAATTGGGGATTTATTAGTATTAAAAAGGCTATTAAGAAAATTATAAATAATATTGTGCCAGCGGGGTATTAGTAGGGGTATTTAAATAAATTACTAATATTATATTAGTATATTAACGTTTATACTATTATTAATTTATATTATAATATATTTATAATTATTAGTAGTCTTCACTCTATTTTTAATATATTTACAATTGAGTACTATATTTAAATTGAAGATATTAAGCCCCATTTTATAGAGGGAGATATTAATTATGTGTAATAGATTTTAGCGAAATTCTAATTCTATTCCGGTATTAAAATTAAAGTATTTTACGTAATTACTAGCGTTAAAGA